TGAACCATATAACAGGATCACCCAAGCAAAAATTTATAACGATCATACTTCACCCAGGTCATCTGGGTGGAAAAATTTTTTAGCCCCACCCAGCACTTCCAACCACGGTTTGTGCATATTGGGGGTCTAAACCCTCTATTTATGTGATTAATTCTTTCTCCATTTCACAAAAACCCTCTTCGGCTTTTAAGGGTTAACAATTGTTTCTGTTAGGTTTATTATAACTACATTGATCTATTTTTATAATCCTTGGTAAACAGAAGTTCACAATAGTTGTTTTGCTATTGGTTTTGTGAATCTGATACATACTTTTGGTGGACATATGCGTCTATAAATTGAAGTTAGTTTCCTATCATTAATGGAAATTATTGAAATGACTTATCGTCTTATTCGATATCATGGACTTTTATTAGAACAACGAATACGAGACGAACGCACGCACAGTAAACGCTTGTAACTCACTTATATTTATTGTTAAATGATAATAAAAAGAACGTATCTACAGTCACATGTTTTATATATTTCATACCTTATAGATGCAGTATCATTCACTTGCACTCTCGGGATAGATTTAACATTGTTGAAACCATCCTCAGTTGTCTATTTCTATGTACTTTTTTGCGATGAATTATCTAATCGAATGTATATTTCTTTTGTGGTATCTCCTAAGAAATGTATAATACCATCGCGATATGTACATGACTTCATAGATTTATTATATTCGGAGACATTTGTGATTGGCTGCTTCTATACTTTGATAAAACAGTACTTTTTTCAAACATTATGTATGTAAATGATGACATCATGTAATTGCACAACAATGTAGTAAGCATTGATGAAAAAGAAAACAAGTTTATTTCAAGTTGGTAATAAAACAGACAATAAAACGTTTCTAAGATTCAATGTAAGTTACTTTTTCTTTCAACTATATTATGATGATTTCGATTTTTTTTAGAATTTATGAACAGAAAGTATTAATATAACAATGATCAATAACGATATAGAGAATCGTTACGAAAACACATCTTTATGGTCGTGTACTCCGCAAACTGACTTGGAAAATGGTATGAAACTAACTTTCTCGAATACTAAATACTCAGAATAATGGGTTTGATGAGCTTATGACACACTAAACCAATAAGGTTTATACTTGGAATTGAAGTTTTATCTATCATAAATCGACATACCTTTATGATAAAGCATGATAGTCCAACAAATCTTATTTTTAAACCGATCAGTGAGAAAAACGTGGTAATAGATGGATTGTCCTATACGCATACGAATGTATCAAGAACCTTATAGAACTTTATTGGGAACTTTTCTACATAGATTCTAGAGACACCAATATATCAACATCTCAGAAATTGACAAAAACAACTGGACCATTCAGGTAAGTTTACACTGTGAGAAATCTATCCAACTATCGTGAACATCATTCGAGTGTTTATCAAAATGAAAATGATATTCGGTAGTTGAATATGTTGTCTTATCAGCTTTTTATTCAGTGTATATTGAAAAACACGATTGTCTTTGTTAATCAAAGTGTACAAGACCTGCTCCAGCTGCTGAAAACGTCATCTTCATTACGAGCTGAAATATTTTCTTCATCAAACATGACTGACTTACATAGTAATGAAGATGAATTTATTATTAAATCGATATCAAGTGGCTATGTCAATCATGCCTTTAGTTTCACAGTGAATGAAAAGTTGATCGATAAAAACTCTCGTCGTGAATATTTTATAAAAGTCAATAGAAATAAACATGCGAAACAGATGTTTAGTGCCGAAGTCATTGGAATGCATACATTTCAAGAAATCTACAGAGATCTCGTTCGTGTTCCTCTATCATTCTCAACTGGATATCTTTGTGAATTGGATCGTGATCAAGGTGGATGGTTTCTTTCCGAATTTATCGATATGAGTAATGCATCAAGAAAGAGATCCGATAAACAATACAGAGAATTTGCTCAAGTCTTGGCAAAGGCACATCAGATTTCAGCCGAAATTCATGCGCGATCTTCACATGGTGGTCACTATGGATTTCATACAAATAATTTTTCCATACATACAGAACAAGATAATACTTGGCAAAATGATTGGTGTCATTTTTTTCTTGAACAACGCTTTAAACCTATCGTACAAAGAATGAAAAGTGATCCTTATTTGATTCATGATTATCGAAAGAACATGGAATTGATTCTTCTCTGTGAACGCCTTATTCCACATATACCTTCGATTCTTGCATTATCAAATCATGTTCAACTTCGTCCGTGTCTTCTTCACGGTGATTTCTCTGATCAAAACTGGTCAGTGGATAAACAAGGTCGTTTTGTTACTTTTGATGGTAGTCCGTTCTATGGTCCATACGAAATGGATATTTATACAATGTCAAATGTATTTATTTCAGCATATTTTGATACTATTGGAGGTCCTGTTGAAGCATATGAAATGCGTTTTGAACTTTACAATCTCCTCCGATTGCTTAGAACTATTATTGACTCGGGTATTAATACATGGCGACCATCGGCTTTTCAATCTTTGACTAAATTGTTAATACATTGTGGAGTATGGAAATCACCTTTTTTTCGTTTTCCTTGTGGAATTAAGATACCAACTAATAAGATCAAATTACCATCATCGATGGGTGGTACAATACGAAAAAAGAATGTTATTCTGGTTTATGGTGGTAGTTTTTGTCCAATTCATTTCAATCATCTTGCAGTGATGGATCTCGTTGCAGAAACACTTGAAAAATCACCATATGAATTTGAAATTCTAGGTGGTTATTTTTGTCCATCAAGTGAAAGTTGGATACAAAAGAAATTACCAGAAAATTATTTACCTAATGCACATAGAGAAGCTTTACTTCTGTTAGCTACTGAAGGTACACGATGGATGATTGATCGTAGTTATTCGTCATCGAAGACGCGTGAAAAAAATCTTATTCAAGAAATTCAAAATAAATATGGTACAGATTTTGAAATGACATTCGTTCATATTTGTGGAATAGATGCGATTGAATATAATGCAAAACATGTTTCGACACAATATCCATTGGTCATTGTTGATCGGCCGGGATTTAATGGAGAATCTTTATGGAAAGAGTATTTTGAAAGAACAACAATTAAAAATCAACAAAGATTAATCTGGATTTCACCATGGACAGGTGAAATGAGAAGTTCAACGATGATTCGAAATCTTTTGATGAAATTAAATAATCATAATCATAAAGATACATATGAAAATCTTCAACATCTGATTCCATCTTCTTGTATCGATTATCTTTTTCAGCATAAATTACAACAATGGTTTAAAACTCATTAAGTTCGATAAATAAAGATTTCAATTAAATTTCAATAGACTTTAAAATATTATCTATATCGGAAATCGCAATTGATGTCATTCTATTAAAAACTTTGTTATAACGCTTGACAAAGGTAATTTTCATCTGGGACTCATGGTGCAAAACAATATTTTTCTTTGTTATTCATATGAGTAATAACTAATAGTGACGATGGAAATTCGTTCGGTACTTTTTAAGGTGAAGATTAGTTTCTCTGTAAAAAGAATCATTGAGTATAGAATCGAAAGATGAAATTATTCCCTCGACTGAAAGGAGGGTCATGTAGAAAAAGTGGTCAAAAAACGGAAATTCGTTTGTGTGCGTGTGTGTCTGTCGCAGGTCAAAGGTCAAAAAAACATTTTTTCCAAAAACGCTCAAAACTTCATAAAACATGGTTTGGGAGGGCTGTTGATGGTGGATGTTCGTTGCAGAAAGCATCAAGATTAACTGTGATAGCAAAGGCGACCGAAGGCCGTCTGAGCGCTCCCAGAGAACACTCCACGCGTGGTATACATTTATGGGTGTTGCAGTGGCTACAGGGAATCGATGGAGTCAATCAGTAGCGATGCAGGCTTTGACAAGATTGAGATCAACCTCGATGGTGGATTAGAGTGAAAGGAAGGCTGAATGAGAAGATATAATCTCCAGGTTGACGTGTCAAAGTGGCAATGACATCTATAAATGAACGACTGGAATGGAGAATAAATATCAGAGTAAAAAAAATTAATCAAACTCCTATTGCAGAAATCAGATTCAGTAACGTCTTTGCATACAAAACTGCAACCGAAGTGACCGTGTTGTGCAATGGAAAGCCGGAACGATAAGGAACGCAAGTGTCGAAATTTTGAGGATGTTGGTTTTTCTACCCAGTAGAATGTCTCCGTATGTCATGCGTTCGGCATAGATATTTCGTATTTGTCATCGGATACCCATGCTAATGGCATATACTGAAAACGCCTAAATATCTGCACCAGAACCGCTGCTCCAAACAAAATCTCAACTATCGTTCGGAGAGCTCTTTAAGACCGTTTCGTATCACAGTCGCAGGTTGCCGCAGTTCCAATCGCTCAACAGTCGAAATGAGTAACATCTGTATATTCAAGAAAAACCCTCTCCTATACAACCACTGTCCACTATGCCGGCCACCATCTCACACAAATGCATGAGAAATAGCGCAGATCCTGATTCGCATGGAACCAAACGGTCACTCATCGCTTGTACCACACCACCTTAGACAAAGTCTACTGCATCCAAAAAATACCGTCAAGATAATTGGGAAAAACCAAAACTTCTTTGAATCTCAAACTAAATGCAATTCGACCACACACAAGCAGATTCCTAAATATTCATCATCAAAACTAAATCTTCATTCCTATCCAAGGAATAAAAACACCGATCCTGCCAGTTCGCCGCTACNCCTGTAAAAGATCTGACTGAATTACGAAGAAGAATCAACAACGAAATCGAATCAATTTCTAAAGAAACTTTGTGTAATGTTTTTTTCAATATTGTGAAAAGGATGCATTTATGTGTTCAGAGTGATGGTAATCATTTTGAGCATTTGTTGTAACTCAAAATATATGAAGTGAAACTTAAGAGAATATACCATCTTTCTATAAAAAAAAAAACAATTTAATTGCTTGTATTGTATAGGAGATATTAATGAAAACTTTCCATACGGACTTTTGGGACACCCTGTATATAGGATTGGGTTAAAAAAAAGCACGAACATAAGAAGAAACTAATCATCGTAGACATTTATTCAAAAATCGCATCGGTATTTCGATAGTTTTCGAATCGAGTACTGTGATGTTATATGTAATCTGCTTATAGTTCGTGATTTATTGCATTATCGTGTAATAAGTTCGGTTCTATAAATCAAATACAATATGTCATGGAAGAGAGAAAAAACTATTCCATGTTTTCGAAAGGTCTATTTCTAATCGTCAATCATATTCATAACTTTTAAAGGTTGATACGATATTTTCATTGAAAAATTGGCCTATGTCTTCTCGGTTTTATTAACTGATAAGACATTTCCCATCTCATCTCTTTCATTTTCTCGTTTTACTCTTTGTTGGATACTGCTTTATTATGGCTGGATCCTTAAATTATCGAGCTGTTCTAATCACCAGAATACAAGATCTTCTCTCGGACAAAGATCGGGAGCGGTTGTGCTTTCTTCTCGGAAAAGATACCCCAGAAATGATGCCCGAGAACTGTTCAATTAGTGAAACCTCCCGTGTGCTTGAGTCTCTTCTCGAAAAGGGCATCATCAGCAACCAAGATTACGATTCTGTCATCCAAGCATTTACAAATATTCACTGCTATGATGCTGTGAAACGAGTAAAAGGTGAGCTTGTTCTCATTCGTTTCTACATTACTGTTTCAGAATTCGATTCGTTACAGTCTATCGAACAAATCAGGCATGCAAAACTCAACGATCTGTCTCGCTACAAGAGATCCTATTACAAGACAGTGCAGAAGCTACGATTGCTCACACGAGTCCGTGACGATATTTTAAACAATTCTTTTCATTTGAACGGAGGTTGTCTTTTTTATAGTAACCATTTGTGATCCGTCTGAATCAAAAATGGATACACAACCTTCGAGTCCTTTTCTGCACACAATTGCTAACCATGAAATGCTAACAAACACCTCGATATCGGTGAAAACTAAAAAGCAAGAAAATATTACTCAATCTCGATGCAAAAATCGGGCGTTTAAAGGACCACTAAACATTCGCTCACAAATTCTAGTTGGTGTTATTGTTCTAGGTGTAATGAGTCTTCCATTCGTGATTGTTCTATCAAAGAAGTATATCGAACGAACTTTAAAACTCAAACAAGGTGAGTCTCGCTCGCTCTCACGAAACATTTACTAATGTGACAGTTTGTTGATGACACAGATCAATCACAGACAGTGAAAGAGATGGATACGAATGTAGTGATGTGGCAATAGAGAGGCGACTCACTCGTCCAACATATGTATTCGACTTTCAAGCATGACAGTGATGAATATTCATCGCGCACTTACCGATTTCTGAGCGGTATGCCTTCCCCTCTATTAGATTCCAATCCAAATTTCCAAGGATTTCAGATCAGGCTAAGTAGCACACGCAATGCATAAAGTGTATTCCTTATTAGATATCGATCGACCATATATCATTGCCATATCATCTTGAATCACTGATAACTCTCTACAATGGTTTCCTAAAAATACTTTCTTTTTATTACATTTCCTATCCATTACCCAAACCTAGCCACCAAATTGATCAACATCGGATGGAACCATTATACAGCGGCAGAATACTCCAAAGCAATTGAAAATTATGCTGCAGCTGTCTCGATTCGCATGCAAATCTTGCCAAAGTCTCATCCGGATTTCGCAATCACCTACAACTACATCGGTTTAGCCTACAATAGTTTAGGAAAGTATTCAACAGCCCTCGAATATTACCAGAAGGCACTTCCTATACTCCAGAAAACCGTTCCAGTGCTTCATTCACACTTAGCCATGACCTTCAACAACATAGGTTCCGCTTATTCTGCATTGGGTGACCACTCAAGGGCTCTGGAAAACCATCAGAAGGCGCTTGTCGTTCAAGAGAAAGCTCTGCCTGCATCTCATCCAGATATAGCCACCACCAACAATAACATAGGTTCGGTTTACTATCACATGGGTGAACACTCGAGAGCTTTGGAAATCCAAACAAACGCACTTGGCATTCGCGAGAAAACTCTTGCAGCAGATCACCCCGATATAGCCACTAGTCACAGCAAAATAGGTGTCCTCTACAGTGAAATGGGTGATCACTCAAAAGCCCTTGAATACCAAAACAAGGCTCTTAGTATTCGGCAAAGAATTCTTCCAACCGATCATCCCGATATAGCCGACAGTTACAACAACATAGGCTTGGTTTACTCCAGCATAGGTGATCAGTCGAGAGCACTAGAGAATCACCAGAAGGCCCTTAATATTCAGCACAAAACTCTTCCTGAATTTCATCCAAGTTTAGCCGACAGTTACAACAACATAGCTGGGGTTTATCATCACATGGGTAACCACCCAAGAGCTCTCCAAAACCACCACAAGGCTTTCGGTATTCGCAAAAAAATTCTTCCAGCCGATCATCCCGATATAGCCAACAGTTACAACAACATAGGCTTGGTTTACTCCAGTATAGGTGATCAGCCAAGAGCTCTTGAAAATCAAAAGAAGGCGCTCAGTGTCCGACAGAAAATTCTTCCTGCACTTCATCCCGATTTGGCCACGAGTTACAGCAACATAGCTGGGGTTTATCATCACATGAGTGACCACACAAAAGCTCTTGAATACGCGAAAAAGGCGCTTGGTATTCGACAGAAAACTCTTCCTGCATTTCATCCAAGTTTAGCCAGCAGTTACAGCAACATAGCTGGAGTTTATCATCACATGGGTGACGACACTAGCGCTCTTGAATACGAGGAAAAGGCGCTCGGTATTCGACAGAAAATTCTTCCTGTATTTCATCCCGACTTAGCCAACAGTTACGACAGCATAGGTGTAATCTACTCTAGAATGGGAGATCAGTCGAGAGCTCTTGAAAATCACAAGAAGGCTCTTGATATTCAGGAGAAAACTCTTCCTGCATTTCATCCAAATTTAGCTGGCAGTTACAACAACATAGCTAGAGTTTATTATCGCATGGGTGACTACTCAAGAGCTCTTGAAAGCCATCAGAAGGCGCTGGATATTCGACTGAAAACTCTGCCTCCGTTTCATCAAGATTTAGCGGACAGTTACAACAACATAGCTGGGGTTTATCATCGCATGGGTAACCACGTAATAGCTCTTGAATACGAAGAAAAGGCGCTCGGTATTCAGGAGAGAACTCTGCCTCCGTTTCATCCACATTTATCCGGCAGTTACAACAACATAGCTTTGGTCTACTCTAGGGTGGGTGATCAGCCGAGAGCTCTTGAAAAGCACAAGAAGGCCCTTGATATTCAGGAGAGAACTCTTCCTGCATTTCATCCGGACTTAGCCACCAGTTACCACAATATAGCTGCGGTTTATTATCACATGGATGACTACTCAAGAGCTCTTGAATACGAAGAGAAGGCACTCGGTATTCAGGAAAAAATTCTTCCAGCATCACATCCCGATTTAGCCACCAATTACAACGGCATAGCTGTGATCTACTCTAGTATGGGTGATCAGTCGAGAGCTCTGGAAAATCACCAGAAGGCCATTGATATTCAGCAGAAAACTCTTCCTGTATTTCATCCCGACTTAGCGAGCAGTTACAACAACATAGGATTGATCTACTCTATCATGGGTAATCAGTCGAGAGCTCTTGAAAACCATCAGAAGGCGCTGAATATCCGGCAGAAAACTCTTCCTGCATTTCATCTGGATGTAGCCGACAGTTACAACAAGATAGCGGAGATTTATGATCTGATGGATGACTACCCAAGAGCTCTTGAAAGCCACCAGAAGGCGCTGGATATTCGACTGAAATCTCTGCCTCCGTTGCATCTAGATTTAGTCGACAGTTACAACAGCATAGCTTCGGTGTATTTTAGCATGGGTGATCAATCGAGAGCACTTGAAAACTATCAAAAGGCGCTTGTGGTTAAGAAGAAAACTTTTTCAGCATCTCATCCAAGTTTAGCGATGACTTACAACAAGATATGTTCGGTTTACTCTGAAATGGGTGATTACTCAAAAGCCCTGGAATACGGCAAAAAGGCGATTGGTATTTGGCGGAAAACGCTTCCAGCATCTCATTGGAATATTGTGGTAGGGTACAATAACATTGGTTTCTTGTATTGGAAGTTGGGGAAGCACTCCAGCGCGTTCAAAAACTATGCTAAATCAGGTGAAATTGAAGAAAAAACTGTATCCCCAAATTATGGATATTTAGCCAGGTTGTATGACAAGATGCGTGTTTTGTACGAAGGTTTGGGAAAAGAAGCATCTGCGCATGAATATCGCAAAAAGGCGCTTGAAATGGAGCAGAAGTCTAAGCTGGTGAAAGCTTGAACGCAGCAGGTTGATGTTATAACTATCTGGTGGTGGACGGAGGTCGCGACCACGGTTGACTGTGTTGTAATTTTTTCCTTTAGTGTAATAAACATGGTATCGAAACATATACTTGAGAAGACAGTTATGTAGACTAGCAGGAGAAAATGGTATTTGGTAATGAGTAATAGTAGAAAACGTTGTGGGGCTGGAGTAGGCCGTCCTATTCACACTGTATCTTGCTGAATGTGGATGCTAAGATTGAATTTCAAGATGTCGACTGTTTGTGAGATCATACTGTTTACAGATGAGTGAAAATAATGGTACACAGATAGAATTGCACATACTGGAAATTGTTCCGAAAGCCTTAGCTGCGTTGTTGACTCACTTGTGCATTATAGCTGTTCTGTGGTATTGCAATAAATATCAAGGTTCTAATATCTATGAAGCTACAAAAAGAGTTTTGTTCAAATGATCTGTCACATAATCACTGTCTGTGTTGTGTGGTTTGAAAGATAAACGATTTGATTTTACGGAAGATTATATTCTGATACAATATCTTTCGTTCAAATCAAACTAACTACATTAGCTGGTAGCTCTTTGATTTATATATTTAATGTTGCTCAATTCGATGTAAAAGTAATTGTTCATCAATGGTAATGAAATTGATTGCCAAGCCATTTCGACCAAATCGACCTCTACGTCCAGCACTTCATTGAAAACAAAATTTGTCGTTTTCTTGAGTAGAATTACTGCTTAGGGATGAACATATTTCTCACAATTTCTCGAAAGATCATAGTTAATAATAGGACTAGCTTGTGGAATATCAGTGTCGTCTTCAGACCTATCTGTTCGTAATAAAATCCGACTGACACCAGTGCAGAACTCTCTTATGCTTTTGTCACGCTGTGTCGCATCCATATTGAAGTGCTACAAGAAGAAAGAGAAAGGTCACTGATTCCTTTGAAGTAATAATTTTGCAACTGACCAGAATGGATACGGTTAAATGATGTATGCGTAGCTTCTCACTTAGCCATTCGATTTGCTCGAATGTGTTACAATAGATGACAGTTTGTATGATTTTCAGTGCATCAAACAATTGATACAACTTATCGAATTTCAACTCTTAACGAAATTATTTTGCGTGGGTTCTTTTCAATAGAGTGAGGAATATGTTAAGTTACTTCGTCTTCGACGAGTACATAAAATTGACGAATACCTTCGAGTGTATGGTCTTCAATTTCAATCAATATTTTTGCCGGATCTTTCATCAGTTTATTTGTTATTTCAAGTAAATCAGGAAGAATGACAGACGATGTAACAATTATCTGAAGATTTCCAGGTAGCATCGTCGATGTGTCTTCAATTTGGTCTTTGTAACCCATAGATAATAATTCGTCGAAATCGTTCAACACGAGCGCCTTTATATTTTCTGTAACTGACATGCAAAGAAGAACACAACATAACGATGGATGTGCGATATAACTCACGTACTGAATGCTGATCTTTCTAACAAATCATAGATTCGATTAGGCGTACCGACCGCAACTTGGACGCTTGCGCCAAGACGTTTCACATCATCATTAATGCTAAAATTCGTTTTTCAGTCTAAATTAATATTGAACTGATATCCGTTTTGGCATTAAAATTATTGTTTGACAATCGTTGCAACTCATGTCGAGTTGATTAATTCAGATTTTCAAGAAACGATAGAAAACGAACCCGAGATACAAGATTTAAGAGCACTTTGTTGGATATCCAGCGGCTGTGTGAGACCATAGTCATAGATACCATGTAAAAGTACGTCTTGCAGATTGAGTTGCTCGAATGATACGATCATTTCGAGCAGGTGATTTAAATTGCTCTTACTGTTACTCATAATAAAACGATAAACGAGCGATTCGACATGATTATAATACACGTATGAGTCGTTATACAAGAAGATGATTCTTCAAAAGTGCGACAACCAATCGTTTCAATTGTTTTAAACAGCAAACAAGTTCAGAGTTTTACATAGTAATAAAAAGAAATTTTATAATTATAAAACCTTTACTATCATCATGCTTTCTGCCAGTGAATTGAACCTTTGCCGCTAGTGCTTATCGCATTTGATTACTCTTGTTGTGCAATTACGTGCTCTCATTTTCTTGACTTTTCATTGTATTTGCAGCATCGAAATGGGATGCGTTCTAAATGCTCAAACCAACACTTACTTGTCGAAAGATCTCGCATTTCCTTAGCCACAAATTTCGAAACGGATTATTATTTCTACGATTATGAAAATAAATTTAAATGACATCGATTGCGAATTATATCAATAAACTATGTTCGCTCTTACGAGATTTGGTTCAAACGAATCTAAAACATTTCTATTGACGTGGTTTAACACTCAATTCGGGTAATGCGATCTTGATATTGCGAATGGGTACATGCAGTGAAAAAGCAAAGATCAATCTTGCGAATATATGGAAATGGAATACATCTGTAGATGAAAAAGAAGCACTGCTGGCTGTGGGAACAAAACCCGAAGATGATATGGATTCGTCTGAAAATAATTAAAATAAAATCTTCTTTCATCAGCGTAAACGATCATTTGTACAAAGAATTGCTCAATCTATTTGGTGAGATAATAAGCAACTTTTGATATCGCAAACAAACAGATATCTATATTTGCAGTGATGATGACTGCAAATGCACCTGTAAATAATTGTGGATGACAATAATCGAATGAAGTTGTATTGTAGTAATCAATATGTTTATATTTAGTCGTGATCTAAGCATTTCCACAACACCATAGGACAAAACTTGCCAATAGACAAATCAGAACTGCATACAAAGTCAGAGTACCGATGCCTTGTGAAACAAAAGATTATGAAATATTGCTGCTGTAGAGTTCTTACGTCGACTTTTTTCTTGACTTGTCCCGTTTTTTTGCCATGCTTCACCCGGATGTCTAATCCAGTGTTGATATGTCGTTATAGTCGTTGCAAAATCTTCTTCTTTACAACAGAAGATGACAAGTATGAAGAGAAACGGTCATATGATTTCCACGACACCACTGAGAATTAGATATGTTTTCACATTGGATTCAATCGGACATGGCTGATACGAAAACATGGAGTAGAGTACAAGTTTGGTAATCATTAAACTAATGTGGATGACGACAGCCAAGATGAGTAGGCCGAAAGACAACACTTGCGAAATACTAAAAACATATACGTAAGACATGTTGTGAACGCCATTTGTTCTGATATAACTACTAACTGGCCCATGATATCGTTATGTTGAACGATTAAAATGCAGCAAAAACTATGAATCTCAATCGAATGAATCTACCACTAAAATGGACTTTTCGACAAGATCTTGTTCGTTTTATTTACAACTGATGACTCCATTATCAGGCCATAAAATGTTGGTAATTCTTTTCTTCCCAATATCAAAGATTACAGAAAGGATTTTTAAAGCATTCGAAACTGATATTGTTCGTCAATCAACACTAATCGACGTAAAATATTGACTCGCAAGTGATGCTTTTAAATCACATATATTGCTAAATGACATTTTGTATTTTGTGGTTTCGACATTCAGTTATTCTTGATCAATCATAATATCCGATTGACATATAAATTCGAAATGTGCGTGAGGATATCTAATTCTTTTTGTGTACCTAAATGCACACTCTCTGAAGATAGAGAGGTGATCTTTCGGCGGATCATCGCGTGCAGTAGAATCGGTTACACCTTTTCTGTACTATAAGAACATCTTTTAGTTCTTCAAGTCACATGATAGGGAGGTACATTGAGATCGTCAATTGTTACACCGAATGTACCTCGGATCATCGTGGCATCGCTCAAGAGAATAAGTCTGTAATAAAATGCGAATCTTTCACAAGAGTTATTTGAAATAGATGAAAAACGAAACAAATGATATTCTTAGTACGTAGATTCAAAATGAAATCTGATTGTTATTCTGAGTGTCACGACGTGTAAATACTGATTCAACATCATTCATGTTGCTACAGTGTTTTTCTCGTTCATAATGATAATCTCTCTATCTGAGTTTTTCTTTCCGTTGCATTGATTACATATAATTACGAATATTATACGTATATTTATAATTTGCTGTTTATGCATTCTTGTATTTGTTAGTTAACAATTCCATAGACATCTTATCGAGACAAAGGAACTCATAAAAAAAGAAAAGGTTCTTTTCTTCAAAGATGGTCGTCCTTGAACCATGGTTTATTCCCGTTGATATTATTTCTATTATGGGCACTGGCATAGCTGCTATACTAGGTCTCATTTCTCTCCTTATTATTATTTTTGATAAAAAATGTCATACACTCCCAATGATGTTGATTGCCAATGCTTCAATAAGTGCAATTGCTTGGGGATTTAGTATGTTTAGTATAGCAATATTTACATTACAAAATGATCTTCAACAAGTGCAAACTTATGACATTTTCTGTATTGTTCGACCTTATTTTGGTTATGGTCTATGTGGAACATTTAATTTTTCATTTACTCTTCAAGCCTTTTATCGATATATGCTCGTAGTTTATCCGAATCGTTTATTTTATCAATCGACAAGATTTCAATTATTTCTCATAATTTTAACATGGATCTATGGTTTTATTGTCCCTATAGAATTCATCGCACGCGATGAAGTTATATATAATGTCGACAATCAAATATGTCAAGTACCACTTCATTTATCATTTTCTGTAATTTATATGGCAAATTGTGTTTATTTAATTCCGATCTTTATAATAATATTGATTTATTACAAATTGCTTCGATATGTCAAACGATTGAATACACATACGACTTCTGTTAATATTGTTGCTCGTGCACGACATGAATTAAAAATGGTGACACGTATCATTACAATAATAATGATTTTATTAATACTTGGTATTCCATATGTTATCTTTATTCTTATGTCATTTTTTACAATTCCACCAAAATATCATTTTCGAATTGCTTTTATTTTCCTTGATGTATCTATGGGATGTGTATTGATTGTTTTATTTCTCTTTACTGATCAATTCAAGAGATTCATAAAACCAAGAAGAAATATCGAACCTGGTACAATTGTACATATACCGATAACACTTTAATCAAAAAGATTTCCTATATCTTTTTTGTTTGTGTTTGATTATCTAAATATGAAATATTATTCTAAGACAAATCTTGNAATATTGCTATACTAAACATACTAAATCCCCAAGCAATTGCACTTATTGAAGTATTGGCAATCAACATCATTGGGAGTGTATTGATTGTTTTATTTCTCTTTACTGATCAATTCAAGAGATTCATAAAACCAAGAAGAAATATCGAACCTGGTACAATTGTACATATACCGATAACACTTTAATCAAAAAGATTTTCTATACCTTTTTTGTTTGTGTTTGATTATCTAAATATGAAATATTATTCTAAGACAAATCTTGAAAGCAGAATTGATGTTTTACGTAAGATATCTTAACGCCCAATTCGAGTTCTTTAAGCAGTCATCCTATTCCGCCATGTTGAACATTCGGGAACTAGTTCCGTATCCGGAATTCCATCTATTACAATCACACGCGACTCCGGAGTTCCGTTTTGGAAATTCGGCCGTGCACAAGGGAAGGCAATACGTGTGGGTGTGATTCCGTTACGGAATTGGAAGGAATTCCGCGGAACTAGTTCCCAAATGTTCAATATTGCGGAATAGGTTGTATTCTCCGTACTTGAATTCAATATCTGTTCATTGTATTTCTCATTTTATTGTTTAATTCAAAGAAAAACAAGTCTTCTATTTCCAAAGATGTATTAAATTCTGTTGAAGATTGACATTCCAATCATTGATTAATTTTCCCGATCGAATTACGATATCCAAACGATACAAATAACTTTTATCATCAGTTCCAATGTGTAGTGATACGAGATTTGGAGCAATATCGATGTTCTTCGCTGTTAATAATCGTACAATTGACGCTGTACAATTTTGACATCGATGAATTTGACAAATTTGTATTTGAGAACATAAATTAAATAAGAATTGAATTTCTTCGACTTGATTAATTCGTGTAATTATTACATTTCTGATTCGAGTTCTTTTTGAAACTCTTTGGAAACTTTCACTATTTTCAATTTGGTCAATTTGTGTTAAATCAATAAAAATCCTTGAAATTTCTAAAGTATTAATATTTGGTATTAATGATAACAATTCAATGACTTTTCCAAATGAATATTTCATTGACATGATATTAAGTTTTGATACATTTTCGAGAGAAATACTTTGTTTTAAATGATTTATCAATGAATCTGAATGATTGCAAGAAATATTTTCAAGAGTAAGTTCAGTTGCATTGGGAAAATGATGATTGGAACTCAAAAGCGAATCTGAAGATGAAATTCGAACATGACGAACCGAATTAAAATTGTTTTTGTGATTTTTCAAATAATTTGATTCATCGATTTTCCATTTCAATGGAAATTCTTTTCGTCTTTAAAAGATAAATAAACGAGTTCTTTCTATTAATTACCTAAACATTTCAATTACCTGTAGGGATTTATTGAATAGAAAACAATCTCATAGTGACCGTGATGGAAATTATTTTCCATTTTAGTTGATTGACTATGAAAAGAGGAGAAGAAGAAATGTTTAATTGAATCTTTTGACAAAGTTACCTTTGAAAAAACTATTGTCGTTTAGTCCAAAATAACGATTGAAATTCTTCACAACGTGATACAAACGCTTGATAACTAAATCCTTCTATATAAATATCAAAAACGCGTAAAGATGGCAGAGAAGATGTGATTAATCGTTCCCATCGATTTGCATTGAGATATTCATCACCAGCTTTTATTGAAATACGTAAAACTTCAATTGAACGAAAATATTTTTGAATAAACAATTCCAAATCGTTAAAACAAACACGATTTAATTTGAGAAATAAATGTGTCAAATGATTCAATGTAAAGGAATTGTTCAATTTGATAATTGAACTTATGTGACTAACATCATTCAATGAAAGTCGACGAAGTTGTGGAACATTCGAGATGATTTTCTATAACAAGTTGTTCAAGTCGACTGAATTGAGTTGTAGCAAAAGGTAATTGACCATATGGATCATTTTGATGTAATTTCAATCAGACATTGGATACTTAGTACAATACTTGGTACTTTTCGTACTAAGTAACTAAAAATCTTAAGTACGAAGTAAATATTTTGTAGTACAAGTACATTTACTTTTACTGGTAAAAGTGTACTAGAACTTTGTACTTGTACTGAAACAAATGTACTAGGACTTCGTACTAAATATTTTTTACTTAAGTACCGGTACTACAAGTACAAAATGTACTTTGATGGTTTTTTTAAGATCATACCTTGTAAACAAATATTTTTAACACATTTACTTGCATAAATCTTATGCTTCAATTGAGATTTTACTGTGCTATCTTTTTTCATCTTGCTTCGACTTGCCAACTCTGATTAATCCCATAAGTGTCGTTTGTAAAAACGTTACTATGAACTTTTTTCTACTCGAACATGATTTCCAACGGACAATTATATCTATTTAGACATAATCTGAGAGTGAATGTATCAATTGTTTGGATTTAGGTTAGCTTAGCCCACCCTGAATGNAGGGAAGTGACAATATTTCTCTGCAGTTTTCATATAATAAGATAATTCATTGATTTGTGATTGAATTTCTCCGATTGATTCTTCAAGTGAAACAAGTTTTTCCTTTCAATAATCATGAATAGGTGTTAATCGTTCGAATGAACATTCAAAATCACCATAACGAGACATTTGTCCAGATAGCGTTCGTCCTACGGATTCATTGACCCTTGTCTGAAAGAAAACTCAAAATATCTCCTATTAGAAATGTAACACAATCATTAACTTCATGAAAAATATTCGAAAAAGCGTATTTTCATGTCTCTATAAATGAATATCTCTAGATAAATAGTCTGGAGACGAGAGTGTTCAATGTTTTATTCCCCGAAACACTGGATTTATAAATAGCTTTCCAATGATTAAACAACACATCCACAGATGCCATTCATTGCTATTAGAAAGATTTTTTCATTGGCGAAAATAAGTAAACAAATGTGCACTTTTTATATTCTGATGTCGGATTTCGTCACTTCACTTTTATTCTTTGTAAGAAAAAGAAACTACGATTCGTATTGTTTTTTTCGTAACCTTGAAGAGAAACCTCTACATTAGATATGACTAAAGATTGTTCTTCATGTGGAATTCGTCTTAGGAATAGTACGTATTATTCAGAAGATGGTAATTGGTATTGTACCAATTGTTATGATATTCGATTTCGTCCAACATGTACAAAATGTCATCAAAAGATTAAAAGTGACCAAAAAGTAATTTATGTTAATATTTTATATAATAATTCTTTATATTTTCTTTCTTAGGGATTAAAATCGAATAATACAAATTGGCATAACGATTGTTTTAATTGTGCACGTTGTAATAAATCATTAGTTCATTTATCATCGTCATACACAAAAAATGATCAACCTTATTGTTCCAATTGTTATCAAATGAAATTTTTACCAAAATGTAATGAATGTGGGGAGACAATTAAATTTGGTAAAATATTTATATTTCTTAAATGAGAAAGTCTATTCTCTTCTTCTAGATGATAGATCTGTGACTTTCCGTGGAAATGAACTTCATACGCAATGTTTCAAATGTTCTTCTTGTAGGATAACATTAGGAACTCAAATCTATTATGAACACAATGGGAATTCTTATTGTCGAAAATGTGACAATGAGAAATTTTGTCCAAAATGTTCTCAATGTAATGTTCCTATTTCACGGGGTATTACGATATATATCGAATGCATCTGATCGGTTACTATTTAATATGTTTTTTTTTACATCATAGGTATAAATTATTCAAAAATAGATGGTTCTATAATGCATTCGACATGTTTTACATGTTTTACTTGTGGAAATACAATTGGAGGGAAATATCGAGAAAAATATGGTCATTATTACCATCCATATTGTGATGATAAATCGAACACTTCAGCCAAAACTCTTATTGAAGTACGAAGAATTTTTATTGATAATTTAAAAGAAAATAATTATTTATGTTTTTAGTCGCCAAAACCAACAATCAAAGTCAAGTCGAATAAAGAAACTTCAGATGACTTTACTCGTCCTAAATCTACATACAGACAGACATCAGCATCATCAAAGGTTTCTGGTAAGTAAAACTTTGTAATTATTCGTCTCGATTATCACAGAATAATCTTTTCTATCAGAAATTAGTGAATTTTACAATGCTTGTCGAGATAATAATATTGATTTTGTGAAAAGAAAATTGAAAACAATGACAATAGAAGAAATAAATCAAATTGAACCAAATGGATCAACAGCACTTCATGTCGCTTCATATCGTGGACATGAAGAAATTGTTGATTTATTATTAGAAAATGGAGCTTCTCATATGATAACAAATCGATATCAAAATACCCCACTTGATGAAGCAAAAACAGAAAGAATTCGAAAATTATTTCATAATCGAAGAAAGAAAACTCGTTTTATTAGCGATTTTGTTGAATGGATTATTTCAACAGATAATGCTGATTTTCAATCAAATATATTTTTAAAAAAATTAGAAACATATGGAAAAGATTTTGATCTTAATCAAATGATTATTCATATTAAAGAAAATTATCTTCCAAAACTTCTGAAATATTCTTTAGATCTTCAAATAATTGAAGAATATTTTGATTTAGCAATAAAAGGAAAAGATCCTTTACAATTATTAAAAGCTTATACAACTGATACAGAATTTTATTCTTCATTGAATATTAATTTAGCAAAATTACATCTTGAAAATCTGACGGAAAAAGAAAATCTTGATCAAGTTTATTTTATTGGAATCATTGCACATCATCCAAAATTAGATCAATTATCATTTACTGGAACGATTTATCGTGGAATGATTATTAATAATGACAATTTTAAACAATATAAAATTGGGACAAAGATTTTAACAAAAACATTTTCATCAGCATCAAAAAATCGAAATATTGCATTTAGATTTCTTAATGAAAATATTGAAAAACATTGTCAATTAAATGTCATTTGTATTTATCAAATACGAAATAATCGAACTGCATTAGATATTGAACATATTTCGATATTTAAAGATGAAGAAGAAGTATTAATATTACCTTTTTCAGCATTTAAAATAATTGATATTCAAACAAAAGATCACAAATCAATTCAAGTTGAAATTACTTTAAAAGAATGTGAACCATGGTGAAATAAAATTCATTTTTCATATTTTTATCGAAACTATGGATTTTTTACAAAGTTTTCTGTATTACGATCAATACTTTATCGTGTTTATCTAAGTGTACTCATCTATCCATAATGTTGTATGTTCGAGAATCAATTTTGTCTTGTTCAGCTACGGAATTTTGCTAATGGCTTTGTAACACAAGATATAATGTCCGAGTGAAGAAAAAGGAGGTGATTCCATCATAAATACCTGATTTGGTAAAGATTAGGTTCTAATAATAGTAGAAGGATATTCTGGTGAGACGTAGTCGTATGTTTATCATCTGTCGACATTTACATTCACACCCTCACCCAAACCCTCGCACATCCATCGCTGTCTATTTTCGTGTTGATTAATTGTCTTTTATTTGTCAGAAAATAAAGATCTCATACTCCCGTAGAATCGCTCGTCACACCTGATTTTTCAATCACCCAAACTCACGAAAATCACAAATCGCTTTTTCCCCCTTGAGATTTACATTTTAAAAATTCATGTATCAATTTTTATAATTCTTTTTCTTTCTTTTATATATTAATATTGTCAAATTGATTATTCTGATCACGTGTAATTAGTAACAGATCCCAAAAATAATTCATTTATTTGTCTCAACAAATGATTGAATGAAATATTTGATGTTGTTGTGATGAGTATTTGAGAAAGAACCTCTTTTTCTATTTCATTTCTTTTTCAACAGTAGCAGCAGTAAATCATTTGAACGCTTCGTATAATGAAAGTGGTTTCTTTTCAACTTCTTTAATAACACCCACAGCTACTGTTTGACACATATCACGAACAGAAAAGCGACCTAATAGTGGATAATCACCAAATTTTTCAACACACATGGGATTTGTTGGAATCATTTTAACCATAGCTGCTTCACCATTTTTTATATATTGTGGATTTTCTTCAATAACTCGACCTGTTCGACGATCAACTTTAGAAATTAATTCAGAAAATCTACAAGCTACACGAGCTGTATGACAATGAACAACTGGTGAATAACCTGGCCTAATTTCACCAGAATGATTAAGTACAACTACCTGCATACATACATACATTTCATATAAGCTTATTAAAAGAAAATGATTACTTACTTGAGCAGTGAAACTTGCTGTTTCTAATGCTGGATCATTTCTTGAATCGGAACAAACACATCCACGTCGGAGTTCTTTAACACTAACACCTCGAACATTAAAACCGACATTACAACCAGGTCCCGCTTCTACAAAACAAAATAAAATCGATCCATCATCAAAGGTATTTCATACCGTCAAGGTTGTCATGATGCATTTCAATTGATCGAACTTCTCCAGTTAAATTTCCTGGTGCAAAATTAACGATCATATTTGGTTTGAGTATACCTGTTTCTACTCGACCAACAAGTACTGTTCCAATACCACCAATTTTATAAACATCTTTAATTGGTATTCGAAGTGGTTTATTTGTTGAACGTTCTGGAGGAATAATAGCATCAAGAGCTTCGAGTAAAGTCTTACCACTTGCATTTCCTTCTTTACGTTCAACTGACCAACCTTTATACCATAACATATTTTTTGATGCTTCAACCAGATTATCACCATACAATCCAGAAATAGGAACAAAAGCAACAGTTTGCGATTGATAGCCAACTTTTTTAATATAGGATGATATTTCATCTTTAATTTCATCAAAACGTTTTTCAGAATATGGCGATTCAGTTGAATCCATTGCAGTAACAACAACAATCATCTGTTTCACACCTAATGCAAATGCTAATAGAGAATGTTCACGAGTTTGACCTTGTTTTGATATACCACTTTCAAATCCACCAGGCCAAGCTGGGACAACTAATACTGCACAATCAGCCTAGATACGACATACAAATCATTTATTGGAACTATAAATAATTTCAAGATAACTTTACCTGTGAAAAACCAATAATCGTATTTTTAGTAAAATCACGATGACCTGGCGTGTCGATAATAGTTATAGCATATTTACTGGTTTCAAATTGAGCAAATGAAATATCGATTGTTGTATCACGTTCTCGAGATGCTTTTAGTTTGTTCATAACCCATGCATATTTACGTGAATTACTGGCGACCTATTTAATAATTCAAATATATGTCTGATTATAGATTTTAAAAAAGGACTTTTTACTTCGGTAACTTCGTTTTCAAGTTTTTCGAACACTTGTCGATCAATGCCACCGCATTTGTAAATCAAATGACCGCATGTTGTTGATTTTCCCGAGTCAACATGACCAATAACTACAACATTAATACTTGTTTTTTCTTTGTTCATCAGTATTTTATCTCTTTATAAGCATATAACTTACGTTATTATGTAAGATTTTTATCATTTATGATAACAGTGACATATTTCACAATTAAAATGCACCAATAACCGAAAAGATGAAATATCTTGCATCAGATGTGAAACTCGAGCAGCTATGACACATTCATGACGAAATTTTCAAAAAAAAATTACCATATATAAATATAAGTAATTGCATACGGGCGACATCACACTAACATTTCTTCACTTGCTAAAAGTAAAAGAACATATATCGATAACAACTTTGTAGGTTCGAATGTTTTTTTTATTAATCATCAAAAAGAGTATTGTGATTTTCTGGAAGAATTTCCTTTATGTTTTTAATTGAAAATCTGCTATCAATTTTGTTCTCTCAATTGAAAGGAGAGTTATGCGTCGAGCAGATATCGCAGAAAAAACGAGTTGATATATGTCCGTCCTTCCATTTGTTCAATCATGTAAAGCACAAGACTATACGACGATTTTTTAATTATGTTTTTCCTTTTCACAGTCATCAAATTCATTTTCTGACATTTGATTTCGATCAAAAACAACAAATATTCGAACGTTTCATTGATCTTTTAACAAATCTGAAATATCTGAAAATCATCTTTGAGAAAACTCGTCAATCTTACTGCGCATATCAATTGGAAGAATTTCTCAAAAAGATTCTCTGTACAAACGCCTTAATTGGACTGTCAATTGATCCTCGAATAAAAACATTGAAAATGATTTCAAAATACGCATCACAAAACTTATCGTTTCTTTGTTTATCTCATTTAGGTGATTCTTCATGAAAAATATTTATTCTTTAGAGAAAAACTTACGGTAAAATTCGGTTAAAAATTTTCTCAATTAAAAAACTTCCAATATGATATTCATACAAAACATCAACCTGATCATTGTTTGACAAATATGACACAAATTTCGACGTTTGATCATTCGATTATTTATCTTCGACAAGGATTTCAACTTATTCTTTCATCATCTTCAACTGTAAGACAAATATTTGTGTACGCATTTACAAATTAACGAAAAAGCATTGGATTTGCAACATTTCATATCATTTTATGAATCCAAAAACAGTTCTAAACTTGTCATTTTGAAGATTTCACATCGATGGACAATCAAGTCATGGAGTTTACAAATAATTTCTATTCATAATTGTAATAAAACACAAACAATGATTAATTGGTTCAAACATCTTCATTTCTTTCATCTCTCAAACAACAAACGGGAATCATTTGAAAAAATTGAATGTAATAACGCAACAAGAGATGATTTACTATACAACGGATAGACATTCTTCTGTGATCTTAACATTACTTTTTCTTTTGACTCGGAATTATACCTCAGAAGGAATTTTACAATGTGATAAAGAATTGTTTTATGATGAATCTATTTTGAGAAGAAGTAGAATTTAGAAGACCAAGTCCGAGTTTTTTCGTACTGATATCCTCAAGAGAGAAATGTGTATGGAGGATGAAAACAAAGTTGCGCGATCTCGAAGAATCAATTCTCTTTCGTGACACATTGTTGATTTCGATGCTTTTACTGTAGTCATTGCGTCGCAATGTGAGCGGAATCGAAAAGATGAATCAAATCTGTGATTCTTAAACCGTTTTGTCTCTTTATGAGAGGAATGTGTACTTTACTTCTGTTATTTTATTGTGACGGCGCTAAAATTGAAGTAACGGAATATTTTAATGAACGAACTTAGAATCTTAAGAATTATTTTTAAAGTTCAAATAGTTGCTGACAACAATTCGCAAGGACAATTTTTACTTCCGTAATTTCATTCTTATCTTAACAATATCAGGAAAACCATTCATTGTACGAGAGCTAATTTGGTTGAGACCAATTTTGAGTACTAAGATTGTCTATGATCAATAAGAAATTGACACATACAAATAATAGATGAACAGACATTTTATCTTACTTCATTCACTTTCAGAGCATCAGCAAGATGACATGCTCCTTGATCACTGATCTGATTACCCCAAATATATAGATTTGTAATTGTCTGTAATAAATGAGAACGATATGAAGAGGAATTTCAAATAATAAAATTGATTCACTTGATTATTCATGAGAGTATTACTCAAATAAGACGCTCCTTGATCTTCTATTTGATTGGTATCAAGATTGATTGTATTGATAGTCTAAAATCAATGCGAACATTAAAATTATGATCACGAATATCATCTGACTTGATTAATTTTGAAAGCATCACTGANACTCGATTACCCCAACATTGGTACAGGTAACCAAGGGCTTCTCTTTGAGAATAGCGAAGAAAATGGGCAAATGAATCCTGTAATCCCATTGGTCCATTTTTGTATCACTTCGGAGGTTGAAATACAGGTATAAAGTACTCTACTAGAAGTACAAGTACAAGTACAGGTATATCCATGCACGTACAAGTACTTGTACGTGTACTTGTCCTACCTCTGACCTTCATATATCTCGCGAAACGACTGTATATGTTGTCGCGTACGATGATTTTCGAGCAATGCGTTCTTTTTTGTCGATTCATCAATGAAATCATTAGAAATCAATATGTAAAGACAACTGTTATACCAAAAGGAAGTCTTTCAATGACAAGCGAAATCATTCATATCTCAATTTCTATTATTAACTACGCATAATGTTCTTTTGTCACTATAAACCATCAGAGATACAACTCAAAGTAACGCTCTACTATCTGTTTGCATGAAAATGTAGTTTTATGCGCCCTCATCGAAATATATGCATCCGTCTACAGTTAAGACAAAATCTGGTACCACAGTGATCTTTTCGGTGCCAGTCGAATGTTATTTAGTTGAAGGATTACTTTAATCTCGTATAAGTGCTTCGATTGCGATCAATGTAACAGCTCTTAACCGATTCAGGACTGGCGGTCACTGATCATTTGAGAACAGTGAAACCCATGACAAGAGCGACCAGACATAACTGCGTATGTATTATAATAATTATGGCATTTATCGATGCTATAACATACTTTCCCAGAAGAAGAAAGACGTAACTCTTCAGTACACTGATTTTCGTCTAGAAATAATTCGACAGATTTGTTACTCCACGAATTTCCATCACAGAATGGTGGAAGATCACGAAAATATATTGTTTGCAGTACAGCTATGAAGCGGCCCAAAAAGCGTTCTCATACTAAGTATGCATGCTCAGAATGCAATGCATGTGGATTTATATGTTACAAATTGCTTTCGAAAATATCATATATTGAAATCATACTAATAAACCTGGAGGAAGAAAAGAATGAAAAATATGTTTTCTTTCGCGAAAAATAATCCCGTTCTAAATGGGTTAATAACAGTCAACTTGTATTGATATAACACTGCTGATTCTATTTTTACTTCCACAATGCCATTCTTCTTTTAACAACATCAGGAAAATCATTTACTGTATAAAAGTTGATTTGGTTGAGATCAACTGTGAGCTCTAAGATTGTCTATCATCAATGAGAAGTTGACACATACAAATAATAGATAAATATACATTTAGCTTACTTCATTCACTTTCAGAGCATCAACAAAACGACCTGCTCCTTCATCACCGATCTGATTCTCCCAAATGTATAGATGTGTAATTGTCTATAATAAATGAGAACAATATGAAGAGGAATTTCAAATAATGAAATTGATTCACTTGGTTATTCATGAGGGTATCACTCAGATAAGACGCTCCTTGGTTTCCTATTTGATTGGTATCATGATTGATTGTTTTGACAATCTAAAATCAATGAGAGGGTTAGAACTATGATCACGAAAATAATCTTACTTGATTGATTTTCAAAGCATCACTGAGATAACGTGTTCCTTCATCACCAATTCCATTGTGTCCGAGGTTCAATGTGTGGAGTGTCTATAAAGAATAACTGTACTAAAGATAGAAAAATTCCTTTTACTTTGTTGATTTTGAGAGCATCAGCTAGATGCTGAGCACCCACAGCACCAATTTGATTTCTTCGAAGATGCAAATAAGTGAGATTCTATGATGAACATAAATGTTATTCATATAACATAATACCAAGCATTCCATCTTACTCGATTAATTTTAAGAGCATCAGCAAGGTAATGTGCCCCTTTAACGGTAATTTCGTTTCCTTGAAGATACAATGATGTCATTGTCTAGAAGACATACATGAAATCACTCCATCTAATCGCTATTCGAAGAATTTCTCTTACATGATTGATTTTGAGAGCTTCACTTATGTGTTTCACGCCCCTATCGGTAATGTGATTGACTCGAAGATTCAATTTCGTGATTGTCTGTGATATATGAAAATGTTGAAGACATGATGATGAAGTAAAGATTATTTCTCACTTGATTCATCTTCAGAGCATCTGCAAGATATTCTGCACCTTCATCATCAATCTTATTCTCTCCAAGATCCAACGTAGTAATGGTCTAATAACAAATGATTAAAACGATGATATGATAACTAAAAATAGTCATTTTAACGCACTTGGTTCGTCTTCAGAAAATTAGCAAGACTCAGTGCTCCTTCATTGCCGATCCAGTTCCTGTCGAGACGTAAAGTGTAAATTGTCTGTTATGAATAAGAATAACGTCGATTGAATAGATGAATGTAAATTTGATCTGACTTTGAAGGTGTCGAGTATATCACAAACATCATTGACACCAGCGTCACCGATGTAATTATTTCGAAGATTTAGTGTAAAAAAGACTTCCGCCACATGACTAGATTTCAGAACATTGGCAAGAAAATAGATCTGGTTGTCATCGATATATCTTCGTCGGAGATCCAATCCGGTAGTTGTCTAAATGAAAAAATAGAAGAGATTTGTTTACTTTTGCAGGACGCAAGTAGGAGAAATCATTTCTCACTTTGTTTATATATGGAACATTATGAAGTTGAAACACTTTTCCCTCATTGAGACGATGGTTTTGAAGATTCAAAGTGACGAGTGTCTATCATGAATATAATTATCATAGAAATGACCGATAAAGAGAAAGAAATATGATCGTACTTGGTTGATCTCGAGAACATCAGCAAAATCACGTTCTCCTTCATCACCAATACGATTGAGGGAAAGATCGAGACTGACAAGTGTCTATAAAATATAGAAGAATATTATAGATATGATGAACATGAAGACTTGTTGTGGCACTTGATTAATCTTTAGAGCATCAGCAAGACAATGAGCTCCTTTATCACTGATTTGATTTCGTGAAAGATTCAATGTATTGATAATCTACGGCGAAAGAGATCGTTTTCGATTCGATAGACAATGAGAAATACTCGATTACCTGATTAATCTTTAAAAAATCAGCAAGATGACGCGCTCCGTCATCACGAATCTGATTTTGTCCAAGATCCAATACGGTAATTGTCTACGATGATAAAATCTCGTATAAATATAGTTACGTCGAAATAGAAAGTCACCTGATTCGTTATCAGAGCATTAGTAAGATAATGAACTCCTTGAGCACCAATCCGATTGTTTTTCAGAATCAAGGAATTGATACTCTGTGATTTATCAAAATCATGTTGATGTCAAATCAATGAACAGATCATTTCTCTCACTTTCAAGTTATTCAAAATATCACAAATATGACGAATTCCGACATCGGTAATCTGACTGTCGCATAGATCAAGTATTTTGACGGTCTGTAATGAATCAAATACTTGGAAAATTAAGGATGAAGATTGTTTTTTATCTCACATTATTGGACTTCATCATACTCGCCATATATCGAATATCTTCGTCACCAGCAACTCTGTGCTTTAGATTTCCTGTATTAAATGTCTAAGAAGATGATTATATTGTGTAGATCTAGATGAGATATTGTATTACCAGAATAGTTTCCAAAGAGTTCTCCTGTCGAGATGTTGATATTTTATCAATCTGATTGTTTTGCTGCTGTAGTTTATGAATAATCTACGATGAAAGAGATAGTAGTGAGAGATCAGAGGACTTTCTAACCTCTTTAATATTCAATATGGTGCAAATAGTTTGTTTTTGTAAATGACTCATTGGATTATGGTTTATCAATAGTGTTTGGAGTGTCTTTAATGGATCCGAATGTCGAAAATATGGCTTAGATTATCACAAATTGTATTCAACCTGGTTCATCTTCGAGGCGTTCATAAGATGATATCCTCCGCTATCACGAATTTTGTTGTATTCAAGATCGAGACTCAAAAGCGTCTATGAAGGAGGACAATATCACGAATCAACAGAAAATAAACAGAAGTTCTTATTTTACTCGATTAGTTTTCAAAGCATTGGCAAGATTCACTGTTCCTTCATCGCCAACTTCATTGTGTTGAAGATCCAATGTTACGAGTGTCTATGATGAATCAAAATCTTCTTGATCTGATAGAAAATAAACAAAATATTACCTCATTGACTTTCAAAACATCAGCAAGATGTTGCATCCCTACGTCACCGATTCGATTTCCTTCGAGATGTAGTGTAGTCAATGTCTATCAGCAAAAACCTATAATTTCAATACAATACAAATCAAATTGTTATGTGACCTTATTTATCTTCAAAGAATTAGCAATATGACAAACACCCTCGTCACCAATATGAGCATAATACAAATTCAGATTAATGAGTGTCTACGTTATTCATGAAAATTATATATTGTATTCTGATGATCTTCGGAAAATATTTCCATACCTGATTGGTTCTTAGAACATCAGAGAGATAATATGTTATATCGGGATCCAAATGAGGTTGATGAAGTTTCAATGTAGTAATTGTCTTTCATAAGTAAGAATGTCGAAGAACTATTAGATAAGTTGTGATATTTAATTACTTTATTGATCTTCAGGGCATTAGCAAACTGATAACCATATTCACGGCTGATTGAAGTCCAGTTTAAACATAAAGAAGTGATTGTCTATCGCGAAGGGAAATATTTTTATTATGAAAAATAAATGGAGATATGATATCACCTGATTAATTTTCAATAGAACAATCAAATGATTTTCTTCTTGGGGATTAAGTTTGGTATAAAAAATTGAGAGCATAGTGATTGTCTGATAGAAAGAAATGGGAATTCGATTGACATTCAAAATTGAGTTGGGAATAATTGATTACTTTGTTACGATATAAGGAACGAAGAATGAATGCCAAATTTTTTTCAAATGAGTAATGTTGAAGGTTATTATACGCCTAGATAATACATAAAACTTTTCCACATTCGATTTGTGAACGTATCTTCTATTTTCAGTACAGGATTGTGATCACTATTGAATACTTTCTCAAACTGATGTTCTTAACGCTACATATTCTTCACTCTTGTGTGTGATCGTGTAAACTATTTTGAAACTCTATCACTTCTCACGATGCACAATGCCTGATTCCGTCAACAAAAACTTACTTGATAACGAGGGTATGTGTGAACTATTGCACCGAGCCGTGTGGAAACGTCTTGAACCGAAACAAGAATATTCTCAGGAGAAAGAAAGTCCAAAATTCGATAGACCAATTCTACCGACAGTGTATGAAGAGATGGAGATAGATTGTTAGTCATATTGATCAATACAATGTGTGTGATATTTGTGTTTATAAAAATGTAATACAACGAATGTGTTTAAATCGTGTTTTACGCTGATGAAATGCAAAGCAACAAAGATATGAAATTCTTAGTGCAAAATCACGTCACGAGAATGTTTTACAAAGTTGTTTTTTTTCGTTTTCTTTCTTATCACGTGTGTTCTTCGTTTTCGACGTACCAACAACACATAGAAATGATACATTTCATTTAATTAACCTTATGAATACCAATCACTTTTGCATTCGAATAGAACGCAAGAAAATAAATATTGGAATAGGAAAACCAACTCTAAAAATATACGCAACCAGAATAAGTGAAAAGATTTTCAATCTAACAAATGTTGAACGATACTTTCTAGTTCTTTGAAATATTCTTTCATAATTCAGACATTTTCTTGTAAGATCGATCCATTTTTATCATATCAGTAGAATATGAAAATCTCTGTACATTTCAATGCGCTAAGTCAATTCGAATAAGATTAGATTTATGATTTTCAGCAGAGAAGAATAATCTTTCTTGCCAAACATTACATTAAATCTGTAAAATATTTTTTTTGTTTGCTAAATTCTTATATTCGATCACATGATCTCGATTTCCATTAAAAGTAAAATTGAACAGTTTAGATAGGTTTAAAACATGAAACATGATGTGCATGTTCAGTTGTCTTATTCATTGTTTGATAGATGTACATCTGCCTGTATCGGAAATGGCTGCCGTTCTGCAAAAATCTGTCGCTTCATTCAGCATTTATTCATCTGAGAATTCTCTGGTTGCAACGACATTGTTTCACTCACTCTGACCAAATTGAATATTTTTCTTTCCTTTCAAAAAGAATTTTGAATATATAAACATATCAGATAATTTACTTGAGAAAGAAGAATAAAGAATTGTCTTCTTTGATGACTCTTGTTTTGATCAGACAATGTCAAATATTCGTCGATTTCTATCGAGTGTCGTCTAAACAAATCAAGATATTTTTTATTGATCCAACTGTTGATATTGGAGGGTTGATTTGAATCGGTCTTGTCAAGCATAAAAATGTTCAAATCAGTGTCTTCATTCGTGGTGATGAAAATCGAATAAAGAAAGTTGGATAAAATGATTGGGGTATTCCTAATTTATGCTAACAGCACCAATACCCAACTTTTCAAGATCGCGCGTTGGTCCTGCTGACAAACACCCACAGCTGGATGAGTTATAGCCGCACACATCCACTAACACCAACCCACACCCTCAATGAATATCTTCAAAAGACTTATTTTAGTTCAATATTATTTCTTTATCTTTAGAGGTTCAAACATGAATGTCCATCAGGAAAGATGAACCTAGGCCAATTTCGTAAGTATTACGATCAAGTCGTACGGTTCCAAGATAGAGATGGCAATTTGGCCAAGTATGTCAATGTATTTTGTCACGTTTTATCGAGATCGCTTGTGTTGTTATAGTCATATGTATGCTGTATTTGACAAGAATCATGATGTTTCGATCGATTTTAATTTTAATGAGCATGTATTAGCTTTTGGTGCGATAAACAGGAAAGATATGAACACTGAACTCCGCCTTGTATTCGAATTGTAAGTTTTCTTTTGAGTGTCTCGACACAATGAAGAGACTAGAAATGTGGGTCTCCAGAGTTTTCTTTTTTCAATTTTAGACTGGATCAATTAGGTGATGGGCTTATTAGTTACGACGAGATAGAGAAGTTCATCACGATATCAGTAAGATTTTTTTCCTTTTCTCTTTCTATTGCAATGTTCGGTGAAATATTCCTATCTTTTTTTTCTAGTTAAAAATCACAGATCCTAACGAAACACAAAGTCCTAACGATTCATTTTCAGCTTCTTTGGTGCCGATACAAACGAGAAACGGACGAAGAAACAGTTTATTGATGGGTATTTCCAAATACTTGTCTTTTATTCTTATTGATGGTATTCTTTTTTAGGTGCAAAACAAATATAATATTGGAGGAGATGTTTGAACATTGATCAACTTATTCTACGATGCAACAAAAAGACTTTTCTTCTCCAATATTACACATAACATTTATGAATAGATTGTCACACATTGTTTGATTTAATATTGGGAGTTTTTGACTCTCGATTTAAGTGAAGTTGTTTTTTCATAATGTAAAATATATAAACCATCTGATGAGCCTTTACTCAAACGCACCCTCATCCTCAAGAGAGCACGTATTCAAATTTTTTGCGCATGAAATATCTACGTAATAGATATTTTCATGCGTATAAAGTTATCAGCGGATTTTCAGAAAAGATTCGAAGTAACAGCTGTCATGAATGCAGAAATGAATTTCGGTTCGAATGGTCCCTTGAGATTCTCAAAAAACAAGAACGACTAATATTTTTATACAAAAAAGTTGTAGAATACAGAAGCTTAATCAGGACTTTTAACCAATTGTCAGTCACAAAAGAATTGATTTTAATCCATTTTCTTTTTGTATGAAAATTTAGTCTAGAATTTAAATGGAAGAAAAAACATGACGATCTCATTGTAAAATAAATGGACGTGTTTGCAAAAATAATGTCTCAATGGACAATTGCCTCTTTGCAAACCCGATTGGGTCGAACGGTTTGTTAGCCTGTGAAACCTACATATACGCATTTTCTTTTTTGCATTTCATGGAATTTTACCTATTCACAAACAGAATCACAGATAGTACAAGATGCAATATCAAGCAAAAAAAACAATAACAAAGATAGTGAGATGTAAGATATACAGAACACGTCGTACATAAGATTACGCTAAAGACTGCAGAGCTCTTCGTTGATTTTTTCTGTGTGAAAATAAATCTCAGCTTACAAGATCAATAAATAATGAAGATAGTTGAAATTTATATTATATATAATATGTGAATATTTTTAGATAAAAATTATTAATTCAATATGGATAATATTTTTCCAGATGAAATATTTTTACGAATATTTCGATATTTACCTCGTGTAGATTTATTTCGTGGTTTTTATAATTTAAATTTTCGTCTCAATCGTATTATAAGTGAAGCACGGGTCCATTTCGGTGATGTCGATTTAAGCGAAGACGAACAAAAATATATTCTTCCATATGTTCAACCTAAACAAATTCGTTCATTTCCTGTTTATGAAGAAAAATACAAATATTTAAGATTAAATGAATGTGTTAATATTGGGAGATTAATATTTCGGAATAGTTCACCGTATAATGTCTATACATATCAACATCCTGATCTGATACATGTAAAACCATCAATATTTCCACATTTAAAACATTTAACCATTTATGTACAATCATGGTCAAATGTGTATATCAATTTATGTAAAATGATATTTGGGAATGAATTTCTGACATTAGAATCTGTTGAGTTACCATATGGTAATGGTACTGGCTGGACATCTCAAATAAAAACGTGGTCAATCAATTTGAAGAATGTTAAAATTCAATGTTGTAATATGTCAATGTATTATCCACTACTTAATAATTTACCAAATATCTTAAGGTTTCACTGTGGATTTGGTGCAACTTATAGAGCATCATTAACGAAAGAATGTTTACCATTAACACATTTGACTTTAGAAACATATGATATATGGTCGACATCATCTGAAGGTTGTCCTACAGCTTTCCACTTGTCGGACATGATGGATTTATTTAAACGATCACCTAATTTAGAAGATACAACTCTCTATATTCGTGGTTTCTATGAACTTGAGGATGTATTTGATCAATTACATCGTGTCTTATCGAATTGTCCAAAATTAACGAGCTACTATTGTGATCTTCTATTTCATAAAAAAAGCTCCGTAAGTATCAATGAAATCAAAAAACGTTATCGTTTATTTGAAGATTGTACAGCTTATATTAGTGAAGGGTCAAAACAACATCGATGTTATTTAAGAAAATACAGATAAAATGACAAAAACCTATGACATGATCATTTTTCATTTTTTTAAAAATTAAATAATTCAATTGAAAATTTATATTCTTCTAATTAGATTTATCTTTCTTTTGTCTATTCCAAATACTTCATTATGCTTATGAATTTGTCACTTTCAAGTAGTGCTTAGAAATTGAACACGACAGAGATGAATTAACACATACCATGCATACAAAGAACATTGAAAATCGTTTACTGAGATAGGGAACAATATTATTTTTAAAGAGTCATTTCAAAAAATTTAACCCTTTCCGTCCGGATGTTGCCATATGGCAACATTCAGTTAGTTTCTCGTCCAAAAATGTCTTATATCAATAGGTTATAATTTTTTTAACGATTCGATAATTATGTACAGACATTTTAGCACAGATTCATGTGTTCGGAAGAAGAAAAATATATTCAGGATGAAAATAGATGAGATTCTACGTGGTGCACCAAAAAAGCATCTCGATCGTAAAAGCGATCTTTTTTATATAATCGAACATTCAATTATGAAAGTAATTAGTGGTTAATTTTTGTCCATATAGCCATTGTATATTGCCACATTAGCTGATATTATTTCATAGTTCTGAACAGTAAAAAGTAGAGATGTTGCCATATGGCAACTCCCGGCGGCAAAGGGACAAAACTTTTAAAATTTACTTATCAAAATAATACTATTATGCGGTGACTTTCTTTGCATATCTTTTCTTTTTTTCGATTCTTATCATGACATCATCATATATATGTATCTTACCTAGATTTTCTTACTTTCTTTCTTCATATACAAGTGCATAGTTTCTTCTAGTATATTCAATTTCATTCGTTTTTGTTCTCTCTTTCACTTTTCACAGTCTGTTTCTTTTCTACGTCTTTCTAGTGAAGTCTGTCATCTTCTAAAGCTTTGTATATATATATATATATATGTACGAATTCAGTAAAATAGTATTTAATCATATTTAAAAATATAAAATTATTTCTCATCAATCGTTTATCTTTGATAATGCCAACCACAAGAAGTTCTAAACGACATTCTGTTGTACCAAATGGTCTTAGTGAAGAAGAAGTACAGTCGTCAGATTCAGAAGATGAGATAAGTAAAGTCAGGCATGTTCTATCAAAGAATTTACTGATAAACAAATAGTCTTCATCAAGTGAAGAGGAGGATGTTGAAGTGATTAAGCAAGCAAGTCCGCCATCGAAAAAAACAAAGAAGTTGGATTGGAAAAAGAAAGATTTTATTCTTCCATTAGCAGATTTTACTGGACTCTTACCACCACCACCGGATGAAGATTTACAGCCGATTGATTATTTTTATTCTATGTTTGGCAGAGAGTCTATAGTACTTTTAAGTGATCAGTCGAATTTATATTCGGTTCAACTAGATCCAAATAAGCCTCTTGGTATTTCTCAACATGAGATGGAGCACTTTATAGGTATATTGATTATGACAGGCGTCTACTCGTTTCCAACACCACGTTTCTTCTGGATGAATACTACTCGTATCGAATCCATAGCTTCAGTAATAAGCCGAGACAGATTTTTGCAAATTAGAAAAAACTTAGATGTCATCGATAATTCTAATCAATTATTCGTTGGCGATCCAAATTTTGATCGAGCACATAAAGTTCGTCCATTACTTAATATTGTCAAAGAAAACTTTAGAAAGATTCCTAAGGAAGAAAAGTTAAGTGCAGACGAACAGATTATTCCATTCAAAGGTAGAAGTATTATGAAGCAGCATATGCCACTGAAACCAAATCGTTGGGGATACAAAATGTTTGTCTTAGCCGGTGGTGAAAGTGGCATTTGCTATGACTTCGTATTCTATACGGGTAAAGGTGAAAAGACTGAGTACGGATTTTGTACAAAAAATTGTTCTTGAACTCTGTGAGACAGTACCACGTGGTATTAATCACAAGCTGTACTGTGATAATTTTTATACAACAATTGCATTACAAGTAGAACTGTTCAAGTTGGGAATTTTTACTGTTGGAACAGTGAGATCGAATCGATTATCTGGTTTAGTTATGAAAACTGAAGCAGAATTATCGAAAGAAGGTCGAGGATCAATGGATCATCGTGTAGTAGAGGTAGATGGAATCCAGATCTGTGCGACTAGATGGTATGATAATAATGTTGTCAACTGTCTTTCGACGTTACATGCTTGTCAGCCCATCGATTTAGTCCAAAGATGGTCAACAAAAGAAAAAAAACATGTGCAAGTTACAAGACCAGATGTAATAAGAGCGTATAATCAGTACATGGGTGGGGTAGATTTGATAGACATGTTGATTTCATTATATCGCATTAATGTTAAGTCAAACAAATATTATATGAAAATTATTTTTCATCTGATCGATTTGTCAATAGTAAATGCATGGCTTTTGTATCGTCGGCATTGTTCTCAGATTAATATTCCCAAGAAGACCATGATGTCTTTATTAACATTTCGTTTAAATGTAGCTGAGTCTTTACTCAAATCTGCTCCATTGGTACCTCCAGTAAAGCGAGGACGACCATCATTGAAACTATCGACAGTTGAAAGTAGCGCTTCGACATCACCAAGAGCGGCACCGAGTCCTTTACCGCCAAAAAATATTCGGTTTGATAAGTACGACCATTGGCCCATACAGATAGAAAAAGGTAGATGTCGAAATGCAGGCTGTAATGGTTATACAAGAATATCATGTTCAAAATGTAAACTACGTCTGTGTCTGAATGAAAATAACAATTGTTTCAAAGACTATCACAATGAATGAAGTCTCTCAAACGTAGCATTTCGTCCTCTCTATTACTACTTTTTCTATGTTTGTCCTGTTTCTCTCAGCAGTTATGATTTCTATATATTATCTTTATAAAAAAAAAGGAAAAACCACAAAGTATTACGTTAAAGTTAAGAAAAATAAAAAAATCTATTCTTTTTTTTTGTGAATTTTTGACCCTTAGTAACCGGGTGTTGCCAAATGGCAACATAAGGTTTTTCGCCACTGAAACGCGTTTTGGTTCCGAAAACTGCATTTTTATTATCTACATGATAAAAGGACAATAGAAATATAAGAAAAAAAATTTTTAGTCTTCGCCCTCTAGGAGCCGGACGGAAAGGGTTAAAAGAAAAATGTTCAAACCAACTAAGCAGAGTCGAAGAGAAGTAGTTTGATTTTTCTTGAGAAATGTTATGTGTATTTTACTTGTTTTTGTGTACTCTCATCTAGAGAAGAAAAGCCTATGATCTTTTTCTGAATGTGTCTTGTAACTCTCATTCACACACCCACATTACTCTAGATGAACAATATCGCAAATTGTAGTTGTTCGAATATCCAAATATCGAAATACTTTGAAAATAAAAGTAGAAGAAAACATTTTGAATTATAATTTTGATTGTTTTATTTTATTTTTATCTATAAAAGAGTTTTATTGTGATCCATCAATTTGTTGTTTCCAACATCTCCGATAGTACAATTTGCCTCCAGCTTCATCAATTTCATTAATATCATCATCAGTTAATTGAAAATTTTCATCATTAACTTTAAGAAAATCTTCTAAATGTTCACGTTTATTCGATGTTGTTATCGTAAGATCACCTGTAATAACAATAATTACAAGATGATGAGATAATGAATTAAACTAACCTTTACTTAAATTCCATTTGAGTAGAATCTGTGCAGGTGATCGACCATATTTTTTAGCTAAATCATTTACTATTCGATCTACTGGTCCATTAGGTTTATGAGCAAGTGAAGCAAGTGGTGTAAAAGTTTGAATAATAATATTATTTAATTTACAATAAGCGAGTAAATCTTTTGATTCTTTATAAATATAAGGATGAAGTTCAACTAAATTCAATATTAATTACATATAGAAAAATCTATTGAATTTACTTTGATTAACAATTGGTCGGATTTTTGGTTTTAAATCAAATAATTCTTTTAAATGTTCAATTTGAAAATTACTAACTCCAATTGATTTAACTTTCCTATTATCAACTAAATTTTCCATATCTTTCCAAGCTTTTTTTAATGAAATTTTATTTCGATCAAAAAATGGTGAATGAATTAACCAAAGATCGAGATAATCAATACCTAAACGCTTCAATGTATCATCACACGCTTTAGATATATTTTCAATATTATTATAAACTTTTGAAGTGATAAATAATTTATCACGTGAAAGTCCTTGAAGACGAATAGCTTCTCCAACAGATTCTTCATTAGAATATATTTCAGCACAATCTAAATGTCGATATCCTAAAGTTAATGCTTGACGAATGGCAATGACTAGAGATTCATTGATTGATTTCACCATTTCACCATTTCGCCATTTTGACCCTGTACCATAGCCAAGACGTGGGATAGATAGATTCGAAGATGTTAATGTTATCGTACTATACATAATCAAAAGAATCTGAAGAAAATCTTGGTTATTCAATATATTGAAAATGTGAAACTCAAAACGTGCACAAACGTGTCTTTACATGATAAATGAAGATGGAGATTACAAAAGTAATAAATAAAAAAAACCTTTTGCTATTCTTATCTAACTAAGAAAGGGGAACAATCAACTTCTTTATCCTAACGGTGATAAAAGCACTCAAATTTTCTATACTCAACAAGAAATTCAGATCACGCGACACGAAATATCGCGATGATCTGAAATACAAATTGATTGAATTTCATTAACAAATATGTGCAGAGAAGTTAGATGTTGACATCATCGACACAAAAAAAGGAGATTCAGATGGTTTATTTTGCAAATGTGAATGATTGCTGTCATTGAACATATGAATATTCGTTTTCTTTCCAATAAATGAGAATATCGTGTAGAAATCACAGTGATGAGATGAATCAAAAATGAACACATTTGTGTTTCTATTGGATTTTTTTTTTATATCAAAGGGCATTTCCGAAGTGCATGAAAGGACATTTTGAATGAAAAATATCTTTATCATATCGAAACATCAAACAAATCAATTCAATTTTCGTTCATTTCTACCAATTAGATTTCTTAGCAAATCTGAAACAATTTTCTCGTTTCAAATGATGTTTCTTTGGAAGAGTTTTTTTTTGTCAAGATTTCAATCAATTCCGTTCTTTGACATCGAACGATGTCAACACACAAAATCAAATGAGGGTGATTTGATAATGTGAAAATTGTTGTGTCATTCAAATTCTAAAAAAACGAAAATCTCATTTTGTGATCAAAACATTTGTTTTGCAAAAAGAATCGATTTCAATGCGATATAAGAAATTTGATTTTATCTTTCGAAAACACAAAGAAATTGATCGAATTGACGAAATTTTCAAAATGAATTCACAAAAATAAATCTCAAAACAATTGAAATATTTTCAAAAACAAAATTCTTTGTCTTTTATTCACAAACTAAATCAAATCTCAAAATTCGATGATTTTCGAAATCAGCAACATAAAGATTTCGTTGAACATCAAATGATAAACCACGGGAATAAGACAATTGATATGATTTATTTCCTTCTCGATTTCCACCAACAATTATTTCATCTTCTCGACTTTCTTCACACCAACGCATTATTCGATGATTATTACCATCTGCAACATAAATTTGACCTTTATCATCAACAATGATTCCATTGGGATACTTCAATTGATTCAGATGATTTCCTTCGCCATTTCCTCCAGCCACTAATTTTCCTTCTTTGNATAATCTGAGAGTGAATGTATCAATTGTTTGGATTTAGGTTAGCTTAGCCCACCCTGAATGAAAATTCTGGCGTCGCTGTTATGCTTCACTGTGCGAAAAGCATAAGTTATAATAAGAAATAAAAATTTTGACCAAGAACTGAAAATAATTGAATTCGCATTATGTCAATTATAACTTACAATCATTTATTTCATAGATGTCACTAAAGTGCGCCGAAAACTTAGCATTAATCCACATGTTAGTCAGGTTTTTTCATGAACGAATACATATTAAAGCTCTTTTTAGATACATTTGTACTTAAGTACAAGTACAAGTATTTGTACTGAATACCTTGTACTAGTACATTTTTACTTAAGTACATCTACTTTTCGTACTGGTACTGAGTACAAATGTACTAAGTAAATTTGGACTTAGTAAAGTCCTAAGTCCTTTTTTTTGGACTTAGGTATTTGTACTTTTACTCGGTGTACTTGTACTTGTCCAATGTCTGATTTCAATCGAAGATATTTTAACTTAGGTAGACGAAATATTTCAAGAAGAATTTCTTTATATCGACTACTCCAAGTAAGATCAATGACTAATGTAGAAAGATTTGATAATGAAGAGAATTTTTCAAGAAGAATTTCCGTATATCCAAAATTTATATTTTCAAGGACAAGTGTTTCCAATCGAGTCGAACGTGATAAAATATTATAAAGAGAATTATCTCGAACACAATTACAATTATTTGTCGTGTTAAATGAAATAATTCGATGTGAACAACGAAGAAGAATTTCATTATAATAACGTTGAAGATTCAATGGTGATATTGATAAATTGATATCGATATTGATTGGAATATTCTAAGAAATCAAAAGATTTCGAAATCGTTCATTGAGATTGAAGAAACTTTGATAAATATGAAAATGATCAAGATAATCAAAGATATCATAAATAATCTCATTGAATAAATCTTCAAACCGTGTTACAGAACCTTTAGGCACATTGATGACCAAATCAGCTTTCACTGTTTCAACTAAAATATTTTTTTTCAAAGAAAAAAATGAAAATAATTCTCAAATCTCAAACTTTGATTTGTATTTTTTCTTCGTTTTACGCCATTATAATTGCGAACACTGGGTATTTGTCGTTTCTTTGTCGACGGTATCTGCTTTTATCTTTTAACAACAACAAAAACTTCCCTGAGTATATAAAGCGAAGAAAAATATCCGATGACAAACTGATAGTGAAATAACAAGTCAAGTCTTTTGTTATGTGAAATTATGAGTCATCTGAACGATGATGATTCTTTAGATCCATTCGATGGAACAACTGTTTCTTAGTTTTGACAATTAATTTCTATCAAATAAAACTCCCAAAAAGAAAACAGAAGCAGATGGAGTTCCCTGTCAATATCGTTTTTGAAAATGATTCATATTGTAAAAATCCACATGGATATCTTCTTTTCGTTGATCACATTGGCACTAACAGAATCAAATGATCGGTCATGTTCATGAAATCATCTTGTCTTTCTAATAACTTTGCGATTAGACAGTTGCTCATCGATGTTTTTCTTGTAATTTGTTAAGTGATCGATTGAGAAAATATTTATTGTTCATAATGTGAGATTGTCAATATCTCCATACGTAACATATCCGAGAAAAAAGATCTAACGATTGATCAATGCATGAAAAGATAATTAATTCATTCTTTCCCACACTCAAAGTGTGAAATGGGATATTCAATATTCTCCTTGACAGATTTATTGAATGTATCAATGTGTAAGAAGTAACGATATGACATTCTCAAAGATTTATCATTAAAATTCCTTCTTTGTGAAAATTCCATCTACATTGATGTTCGATATTTGATCATTGTTATTGATGAATTCGTTTCTTCGTCACTTTTATCATCCGAAAAAAATGAAAATCACTACGAATTACGATCATTGTCCAAGTTTTGCACAGAATCAATTATCCATTGTGTTTAATTGTAGATCCTTTCTTTTTCCTTCACGAATTTCCTTTTCATAGAACAAAATTTGATTATTATTAGAATATTGAAATCTGAAATGAAAATCATTTCCAAATTGCCCAATAAAATTGTTCATTTCTCATGAAGATTTCTCAAATGAAACATCGAAATCTCACATAAAATAGTCTCAAGTAGCTCCAAAATAAACTTTGTGATTTCACTTTGAACAAACGTGTTTAGATGTCACAGTTGATTTGAATGATTTGTGTCATTGAACCAAGGGGAAAAAGGCAGACTTAAAGTAGAAAAGTAATTCAAAGTGTCGCGAAGTAGGCGAAAGTAGACAAAAGTACATGAAATTACCTCGAAGTATTTTGAAGTAGTAGAGAGTTACTTGAGGTGCAAAAGTCTGCTTTTCTCACGATAATTTCAAACAAATCGAACACGTTTCCACTGTTTTTGGGAACGAGCGATCGAAAACACAAGAAAAATTGCTCCATCATGGGAATAGCTCCTAAAATACAACTCCATCTTGTTCTGTTTTTAAGATCCTTCCCAGGAAAAGTGAGGACATCTTGTAGCCAAATATCATAGTACATGCTGGAATGCAGAGTAAGCCTTGAGATGTTCATATAGTTATTTTAAACTAAAGGCCAAGAGCTAACGGTGAAAGGTCAACACCTTGGGCATTCGTCTCTGCTCTAAGAATTTAAAGTAGCTGAAATAGCTCAAAGTGCTCTGAAGTTACTTGAAGTCCAAAAATCTACCTTTTCCATCATGTCTTTTCCTGATCTTTCGTAAATTATTCACATAATACCATTCACGGCCAAGAGTAAACTGATCTACACACATATTTCTGAATCAATTAAATATTCTTAAAAACTGTAAAGTATCGGAAGTATTTGAAGTAGTTTAAAGTACACCAAAGTAGCCGAAAATTCTTGAAAGTCGTGTAAAGTAGAGAAAAGTTGTGTTAAAGTACTCGAAATTACGCCTAAGTACTTTGAAGTAGCATAAAGTCTGCCTTTTTCTACTTGCATTGAACACATGAAGATCCATTTTGTTTCTTCATCATCGTATCCAAAATGAAGATTTCAATGATTTTCTTTCCTATGGATGCACAGTGATGATGTGAAATATCTTATTTGGTTTGAGAATCGGATGTTCATCATTAGTTGAAGTGTTTTTCTTGAGAAAAGAAATGTGAATATTTCTCTTATTGATGAGATGAACAAAAAAAGAAGATATTTATATTTCGATTCGATTTCTTGTGTCCAATGGGATTTTTGAAGCGAATGGAATTTGTGAAAGACATGAAATTCCAATTGATGAATCTTTTTTTGTCTCATCGAATTTATCAATCAGATTTTTCATTGAAATAAATCTGAAGAAATATGAAACGAATTTTCTCGTTTCAAATGACGTTTCCTTTGTCGATATTTGAAGAAATGATCAAATCGATTCATTCGTTCTTTGGCATCGAACGATTGAAAACCTTTATCAAATAAAACATTGACGCCGAAATCAAATGTGTCACTGAAATTTGGCAAAACCGAAAAAAGAAAATCTCATTTTGTGATCAAAACATTGTTTTTCAAAAGAATAAGAAAATGTTCATTGGTAAATATTTACAACGGAAAATCGAATTTAGATCTTGTCGACATGTCCAACTAGATTTTGAAGAAAATCTTGGATCTTCAATGATTTGTCGATTTATCACGACTTTTATGGGGAAAATCCAAAGAAATTCATCGAATTGACGAAATTTCCAAAATGAATTCACAAAAATAAATCTACAACATAAATTTGACCTTTATCATCAACAATGATTCCATTGGGATACTTCAATTGATTCAGATGATTTCCTTCGCCATTTCCTCCAGCCACTAATTTTCCTTCTTTGTCAAGTCTTTCTCCTCGAATTTTCCATCTTCTTACTTTATTCTTCTCCTCATCACAAACATAATGAAATCCGAATTGATCTTTTGTTAAACCCCAACATCGAATATTGTGAATGAGAATATCTTGTTGATTTTGATTTCTCCATCTCATAACTCGTCTGTTCATCAACAATCACATTTGTTGGTTCACACAATTGATCAACGAAAAGATTCCAAGGACAAGAGAGTTGATTTTATTTCTCTCCTTGTTCATTTCCTTCTGCGATATTTTGCGTTCTTCGAAAGAAAAACAAAAGAAATTTGATTTTGAAAATCCGTTTTCTTCTTCATTTCCATGCGAATCGTACAAAACAAAGTGGTTCTTCTCTGGAAAAGATATCTAAATCGATATACTTTGATCTCTGTGAATTATTTTCATTTGTAAATTGTCCATCGTCATCAACTTGAAATTCTCAAAATAATTTCTTCATCATTTTCATATTCAGTATAAACTCATGACATTTTCTTTCTATTGACACATTCGATCATGAAAAGTGTACAATCTGTTTGATTTTCAATCAAATCTTTGATACCATTAACAGAAGAAGAACACGAATTGACACTTCATCAAGTGATTTTCTCATTTCTTTTGTAATTCTTTCCAATATCATTTGAAACACCACGTCAAACATTTCCTTACACAGTTGATAATTTGTCCAAAGCAGAATGAAATAATTTCAAATCATTTCGATTTTCACTTCTTAGTGCTTTGTTTAAAACTCGATATGAAGTTGATTCATCTGATGTTAACCCATTTTCTGAAGGGAAGTGACAATATTTCTCTGCAGTTTTCATATAATAAGATAATTCATTGATTTGTGATTGAATTTCTCCGATTGATTCTTCAAGTGAAACAAGTTTTTCCTTTCAATAATCATGAATAGGTGTTAATCGTTCGAATGAACATTCAAAATCATCATAACGAGACATTTTTCAGCAATTCAAATGAAACGAACTTCGTTTGTTTATTAAAGAGAATTTTTTATCTTTATTTTTCCTTTATTCCGAATATTCTCGAAAGAGACAACATTGTTCTTATCAGTAAACCAAGCAGAGTTCTTTTTTTTTCATTAGATTTTATTGTATACGAAAAAAACGTTGAAAAGAGAATTGTATTAGTGATGGAGAGAACAAAGTTTAGTTTGATGTTGATGAACTTATGAATCATTTTGTTACTTTGATCATTTTCTAAACGTAATAAACAAATAGAGCATTTCTAATGGAATTTGATCGATTTATCCAAAATGAAATTATTCGTAACTTTCATATTTTATGTTTGACAATGATTGATGATTTGCTTTTAACGATTTTCATATTCTCGTCTTAAGTGATATGATGACGAGTTTTTCCTTTTGTAATATGGAGCGAAACAACGACATCAGCGTTTTATATCTCAGTAACATTTATATTCACTAAATAAATATCGGAAATGAGAATGAAAATGAAAATGTTGAAATGTGTCAATGACAGTTTACAATCGAAATGAATATTCACAACAGGAACGGGAAAATGTCTTTTTCTCTAATAATCATTGACACTTGAGAAAAGAATAATTCAATGATCAAACGTACTCTATTTCATTTTCTCATCTACGAGTCTTCAAAAACTATTCACACGGTTTTTCTTTCGACAACTAAACAAAAAACAATACTCCTCGTACTGTCGACAGTCTTTGCGGAAAAGAAACAAAAGTTGTCATTTCATAAGTTTTACACGAAGTTTTGTGTTGTGCCAATAGAAATATGCCTGAGTATGTCAAAATCACGAACAGATCATTTATTCGCACAACAATGCTTTGTCTATGGTGATGATACACATCCAACAACAGTACGAGCACCAAAACTTTTCTCACCTTTACCTATAGATCAATCATAACTTTTATGTAAATTTTATTATTTACTGCCATTCGTCTTCTAATTCATATCGATATGAGCTGATCTCAAATTTTGATATAGTCAATGGGGTTACAGAACTAAAGCTGACCATGCAATAGTTTCGATCGCATGTCATGTCCATTTCAGCACGAACGACGAATATGTATCATAAGTTGTCGGGAGAGTGGCATTTAACGAACATGCCCTATCTTGATACAAATGTGGTAGAAGAGGATGAGCGAAAAAAGAAACCTGTCGAGCAATAATACACAGTTAATAATTGTTCACAGGAAAGTTTGGTCAAATTTGTGATTAGATTTATTTTCAGTTTTATATGTAATATGAGATTCTGACCATGAATCGGTATGTATTTCGCTTTCTCTACAGTTTGTTGATAGGTAAAACGAACCGATTTGTATTGTGTATTGAACTTTTGAATTGCCGCTTCCCCATAGCGTCAGCTTTGAATTTCTCTCGTTTGTGTGTTCCTGTGGTTCATATTCGATTTTTTCGTTTCTAATTAGCAAAGATGGCACAGCTATTGACATAACTAATTGCTGATCGATATTCATCTAACGTTAATTTGCCGTTAAGCCAAGTTGGTTCGAGAAGAGAGCCAGGATTGAAGTAACTAGCGGCACCTTACAATCGAATTAAACCACCATGTAACAGGTCAGCCATTGGTAAACAAGATGAAAATGCATCTACTTCATTATTGACGGTTGTCAATGTACCTCCAAAAGATCCTGCATTCATTTTCTGTAGTTACAACGGAAATATTTTTCTTATTACTACAATAACACTGTTCTCGTTGTTTTCTTCAAACACCATGTGACCTCCACTGATTTTGTTCACATCACCCAGCAATTAGATGTTGAAATGTCTTAATGACTGATTTACCTTTTGAAGAATTTCATTTAAATCTGATGAGAATGCAAAACATAAGTTTATACCAAGAAATTTCTAAAATAAAAACATCGAAAGATGTTCTTCTACTCAAAATTCAGTTCATTAACATATCTATTAGACTTTTATTATGATATGCTATATGGGTAGAAGTCTACAAATCAGTCGAAAATGTGAATTTGAGAAGTTTTATTTTTATGATGACTTTATATTTCTCATTAAATAAAAAAAGAATCTTCTATTTTCGCACTGCGATGACGTTTATGGGAACAATAACACGACGCTGACGTCGTAAACGTAATATCGTTGTCATTTTTCCTCTCAATTCGGGCAATGCTCCGATTGAGACTATGGGAAATAGAAACATCATATACTAAATGCCATAGACAGCGACCGGTGTAAATCTCGCTCCGAAACCTGATGATATTCCACAGAATTGAAGAAACGTCATAGGAAAAAAAGGAAAAGCTAAAATAAGATAAATAAACGAGATCGATAGGACCTGAATGGTCATTTTTCTATTTTGACGCCAATTTATATGTCGATGTATATGATACTTTTGCCAGAGAATACGAAGAAACAGAGAAAAACTCGAAATAACGATCATAAGAGTGGGAAATATCGAGTGAATAATGTTGTCATACAGAGCGAGTTTATTATTTTCGAACGCACAGGGATACATAATTGGGTCACTGGCATCACCATAGTCACCTTCACATTGTATCTCAAAAAAAGCAACTGCATAGAATAAACAACAAGAAATAGAAATGAGGAATGGTGGACGATAATGAAAGAAGAAACGTTTTGTTGTAGTTGTGAATAAATTCTTATGAAAAACGCGAAAATATCTTTCGATCGTTGCCCAAGTGTATAACATTGAATGAAGAACAAAAAATGTCCACTCAATATATGACCAAAAGAAGCGAAGTGTAAGTGATGGTGGAAAAGATTCGAAAGTATGGAAATGATACATGTATAAAGGCATATCTGTACATTCAATAAGAAGAGTAAGACCAAGAAGGAGAATTATGATATGATTATTAAGTGGTTGACGAAGTGTTCGATTAGAAAGTAAATAAAATAAAGCGAAGATTGAACAGATTATCGATGGAATAATTAATATAATAAAGATCCAGAATTGTATCAAGTATAGTTGTTTTCGAAGATCGTCACATAATGGCACATGGCCGTTGGAGCTATTGTTTATACTTTGCATCTCTATAGAAGAATACCCATCAGTTAAATGAAGATAATCAAATAGAACGGTAGTACAGGAACACTTGGAAACATCTACCACTGATGTCTCATGTTTTTTTAATTACCTTTAACAAGGTTTAAGAGGATTCTTTTTCTTTGATAAGATTATAGAATAGAAGACGCTCTAGATTTCTGTACTGCTCCATCTCTATCCAATTAATCTCACAAATAACAAAGTCTAATAAGAGATGTGTTTGTTTAAACTTAATTACGAGCGTCATTATTTTAAGATTGTAAGTTGCGTCTACACCAGTCAAATATATTTTGTCTTTTACTTCTAATCAAACAGATGAACATATTTTAATTACATCGATCTCTTCAAACTGCATTTTGTGAGATATTCTGCTTTCTGAATACAACACAATAAGTTCTTTAAGAATGTCATGCAATTCATTTTAAGTGATATTCAAGTTTGAACAAAAATACTTCTCATTAGACTTCGATTGTCATGAGATTAATTGGATAGAGAAAGAGTAGAGTGCATAAGTCTATAGAGCACTGTCTACTGCACAATCTTGTCAAAGAAATAAAAGGAAGCGGTGAGATTAGCGTAAACATTTTCAATGAGCTGACGTTCAGGACAAAAAGCGTGAAATAGTAATTTAAATAGAAAGATGTACTCTGTGTTATCATAACGCAACGAATAATTTCAAAGCAAATATTCTTTTGACGTGTTTCATTGTAAAAAAATTCTTAAGCATTTCGAATAATATTTTCATTGAATTGTTTATTTGCACTATACGAATGAACTCTATGTGAGTGAAATCGTCATCTTATAAATCATGTATACGAGATTGGATTACACGGTAGGTCATTCCTAGGGGTGGCACTTTAACTTTACTTTCAAAATTAAAGTTAAAGTGCCACCCTACCCATAGATAAATATATTTTATAACTTTTTCGACTAAATGGGAAAAAATGTTGTCGAGGGAACAGAGCGATACGGTTTCATACGCAATACACCACACTCTCACAAGTGACGGTATAGATAGACGAAAAATTGTTTACTCAATTTGAATAAAATATGATGAGAGTTGATATTCATGAAAAGAGAATGTCATCAATTTTGATTTCGAAAAGAAACATTTTTGTTCTACGAAAATCAAAGATTCAATTAATGATAAGAAAAGAAAACTAAATTTGTTTGACATTCGAATGCACATCGTTCACATTCACAACTGTCTANAATGGAACTTTTGCTAATCAAATCACTTTTTCAACTGGTACAAATTCAAATCCAATAAAACTCAATTGTGTTGATTTTAATGGAGATCATTTTCTGGATATTTTTGTTTTTAACAAAAATCTTAATGAATTCGTTATTCTATTTGGATTTAATAATGGAAGTTTCCTATTAACAACGACTTATTCACTTGGAAATTATTCAAATCCCGAATCATTTGCTATTTCAGACATAAATAATGATGAACAACTTGATGTTATCGTTGCCAATTCGAAATCTAATACAATTGACATTTTTAATTCTTGGTTATGGAAATGGTGATTTGACATTTGAAAGAAGTTATTCAACAGGAATTGATTCTGGACCATCGTCTGTGGCTGTTGGAGATTTAAATAATGATAAATATTTAGATCTTGTCGTTGCGAACAATGGAACGAATAACATTGCGATTTTCTATGGGTCTGGTGACGGAAGTTTTTCATCGAAACAAATTTATTCAACTGGAAGAAATTCTCAACCGAATTCCGTCGTGATTGGAGATTTGAATAATGATAATCAATTAGATATTGTTGTTTCTAATTGTAAAAATGACAATATCGGTGTTTTTCTCGGGTATGGGAATGAAAGTTTTGCTTCTCAAAAGATTTACTCGACTGGAATTAGTTCTCGTCCACAAATGTTGTTCATTGAGGATCTCAATGATGACACTTATCTCGATGTTGCAGTTATCAGTACATATTCACTTAGTTTGACTATTTTTCTCAACAATGGCAATGGAACATTGTCACAACGAATTGATCATGATATACGAACCGGTCTTTCTCCTAATAGTTTAGCCATTGGTGATTTAAACAAAGATGGTCATCAGGATCTTGTTGTTACTACTTATTATGGTCGTAATTTTTATATTTTCCAGGGATTTGGTAATGGAACATTTGAAAATGTGGCAACTTATTCAACTGGTAGTGGTTCTCGACCATATTCATGTGTGATAACAGATTGGAGTCATGATAATAATCTCGATATTATAGTTAGTAATTGTGTTACTGACAATTTAGTATTGTTTAAAGGATATGGTAATGGAACATTTTCTTTGAATCAAATTTCATCAACAGGTGACAATTCATGTCCAAGAGCAATTCGATTTGGATATTTTTACTACGATGATCTCATTGATATCGCTGTTGCCAATTATGGTACTAATACTCTCGGTGTTTTCTTCAACAATATTTACACAAGTGGTGAACGTCAAACAACATATTCAACTGGATCTTCATCTCATCCACGAGGCATTGTTCTTGCTCATTTCAATAATGATTTCCCATGTGAATTTTTTTTGAGTGTAAACGCGTTTAAAACGCGTTTGGGATGCGTTTCAAACGCAAGGCACAAACGCACCAAACGCGATGGAAATGAAACATTTGATGCATCTAGATGCGTTAATCAAACGCATCCAGACGCGTCTTTCAGATGNACAGGATTCGAACCCGTCTCGCGCCACTGTACGCTCATTAGACACTCGTGCTATATGCGATTCATTCTCTTTCCTTTTCTTTCGTTCATCGTTCATGAAATCTATTGAACAGATGAACATCAGATAAGCGATATTCAGTAATAATATCATTGAAATTCGTTTGTTTCTATGAAGAAAAAGTTCTTTCTCTTCTCTCTTCTTTTCATTTGATCTTATCAAAGAGAATTATCGATTGATGATCATCATTTTTATTTGTAATCAAAGAAAAAATACCGTAAAAACAAATTACGTTCTATTACAAATACGTCTTGGTACAAAAAGAATTACAAGAAAATCAACAATAGATAATTGTTTTCGAACAAAATGTTCATTTGTCTCGATGGAATATTTGTTGGAGAACTGGTGGTTGTTGCTGAAGTCGAATGCGAAGAAGAAGAATTGGATTTTTTCCAAATATCACCGGTTTTTGTTGCTGCAACTTCACTTGAATATTTTGGACACCACGAAGATAACTTTTGTGCTCGAAATGTAATACCACCTGGAGTTGTTGTTGAAGTAAATCAACCCGTTGATATTTATTTGTCACACCAAGATGTTTCAAACTGGTGAGTTGATCTCGACTCAATGGGAACTTGGTGGATCTAATTTCGCCTTTTCGCCGATCAATGGCAGCGTTGTAAATGAACTTCTGGACATGTGGCGCCAGAGAAACAAGACATTTCTCGATTTTGATTGTGGATGGAGGTCGTGGTGTTCTTGCTGGTATTGACGGTGGTGGATACATCGTGTGGTTGTGCAAACGAAGCCAGTAGTTAGGTGGAAAATCATGTTGTCGAAGATTCATCTACAAATATAAAAATATTTGTTTGAGATGGTTGGAGAATTCTTTTATCTAGTATGAACAAAAAAATCTTCTTGTTTATCTTTGTTGAATGGAACAAACAGATGAAAATGAAAAAGCCAACAGATCTATTGAATTGACCCATCATTTTCAACACGCATACCATGCTTGTTCCGTAGGATTCGTATACTTGTATCAACCACGAGGTTGACCTGAAGAAAACAAATATTTTCTGTTTTAAATATCACATATTGAATTAAAAGAGAACAATCTCAAGTGGTTTTTGAAAGAATGATTGCCACACGGTATAAAAGAAGTTTTTCTAAATCTTGATGACGAAACAAGAATTAGAAAGCGAGATACTCAACTGCAGAATCTCAACAGATGAAGAGAACAGTTGCCTACGTAGAAAAAGAATAATTTCATAGGATACTACCTAACGTTGTCGATTGACCTCGTGACATCCACGATCGACCACGATATTCCATGTCACGACGATGAAAGGGATGGGGATTTTGTTGATTTCGAGGCGTAGAGG